GCAGTTAGCAAGCGACTGGGGAATCAGTCAGCAAGCAGAAAGGAGCTAATTGAATCCAGTGTCTTCCCCTCTTTCTCTTCGGATCCTCAGCTGTGACGGGGGAGCCTGCCTGATCATGTAACTCCAGAGGAACATGTTCAAGGGTGCCTAATCCTAATTTTGAGATTGCAGAGTTGATGCCACAAGAGTGAAGACTCTCTCCGAGCGGGGAGGGGTGGGGGCAGTCTTCAAAACTGCCCCTTAGGCCTGCTAAATGCCGAAGCCGGTAAGTCTCTGGATGTGTTTAACTGGAAAGGGAAAAAGTGCATTTTCTGTTGCTTTAAGAAAAAGCTTTTTGCTCGCTCCTGCCTCTGTTCTGATCGATCTCTCTCTCTCTCTTACTTTTCCCCCTTAAATTCCTCCAGATTCGTCCTTCTTCTTCCCTGTTTATTTCCTTACCCGGTAACCCTGAGTATTCTTGCCTGGCACATTTATCCAATGATGCTGCATAGCTTTTGGGATACTATTTTGAGGAGTTGAGAGAATCAGCGTACACAGGCGGGAACTCAGCTGTACCTAGTGGGAACTTCTCGTGGGGAGGACTTATATTCACACAGCATTGTGCACTGCTTTTCATAAGCCTACAGCTGACTGGCTTCCTTCTCTTAACTTCAGGGTTAATGCCCTGGCATGGCAGACCTAGGAAGTTGACGCATGTATGTCTGACCATGCAGTAGATTAAAAAAGCAAGTGCATTTCCGATTTCAAAGTACTTTTCAGAAAGGCCCAAATATCGCAGAATGTTATGGGGCACTGGGGAAGATGAGTTTAGTCCGGTGCTAATTGTGACAGTGTGTTGAGTGTTTGGAGCTTGCGAAGCCAGCTGAGCTAGAGAGTTTCTGCAAAGGGCACCTTTGGAATCCTGTGCTTAGCGAGGTCTGAGCTGTGCCCACACAGGGCTAGTCGCTTCTTGCAAGTGGGGTTTAACCTTTATTACTGCCGTGCCTGCTTGAGAGTGCCCTGGGGCTTTTGGAAAGCATTTGTTCTGTGCATCATGGTTGCAAGAGCTGTTTGCTGTAGGGTCGAGTAAAGTATTTGTTACCAAAGAGCAGCGAAGGGGCTGCTTTTAGTGAGATCCAGCACATATTTTAATCTTTGTACTTACAGATGCTATTCATTGTGCTCCTTTTTCCCTGCACATCCCACATGTAGCTGTGTTATAAAAAGTTCTCCGCGCTGGCTCCGTGTCTTTCCTATTAGAACATTGCAGATGTGTCGAGGATGCACTTGTTCCAAAAGAAGCTGGGAAGGAAGCAGGCTCCACCCTTCCCCGCGTGCCAAACGGGCCCCATAGGTTCCTCCTTCAGCGCCCTGGCAGCCGAGTGGTGTGCTATCTCTTTAAAGCGGCTATAGTTCTGTGCCTTGGCTTGGTCAATTTGTTATGGTTTAAAACTGTGGAGCCAGCTGTCTGCAATCTGATGTAATGTTGCTATGGAAACCAGAAATGAAACACTTAAGCATTCACCGCAGAATTACTACATATAGCATTAGCCAAAGTAATTAAAAGTTGAGCCATATGGGCTCTCTGCTGGAAAAATCTGCAAAAGAGAGGCTGGAAATCAAATGTTTCTATTTACAATATTATAAATTCACTTTTCAACATCCTTTGGTGTTGGAAAAAGAAAAGTTGCCTTTTTCTCTTGAAGGTTTGGGGGGAGGGTGCCATACAGATGATGGAGTCCACCCTCTTATTTAAGAAGATGATCAGAGTTGATGTTAGTGCCTCGGGCGACACCGTCTTATCTTTGAGTGTGTATGAGCGTATACTTTTTTCACTTTACTTTATTTAAAACCTGTCCTGTAGTAGTTCTGAGACTGTTTCTTAGAATTGACCATTTATTTTATGTACGATGCAGATGTCTTTATCTTCTACAAAGCTTTTCAGGTAGAAGGATTTCTTTTAAATATATATATATATAATGTTTTAATTTGAAAATTATCTATATTTTTGATGTTTCTTGATTTTAAATAAATGTATCAACCCCCCATCCCTGGTGGTATACTATGTACTTCCTGAATAAAAAGACACCATATGTTATTTTTAGCATTTGGGAAGTGCTCCATGCTTATTTAAAGAGAGGAATATGACATGAGAAATTTAAGCTTTATTCCCAGTTAGAAGAAACGCATGCCATTTATAGCATTTTTGTGTTAAAACAGCTGGAGGGAATTTTTTAAAGGCAAATATTTCACAACTAATTTTTTTCCTCTGGACTCAGGAGGAAGTGAGAAGTCAGCACCTCTCCATCAAAAAAATAAAAAAGCATCCTTGGTACAAACTGTTGAACTTGAGTAACTTCTGGGCTGACTAGAGAGGAAATTTTCTATTTAAGAAGTATCTACACACACATATTTCTCGAGTGACTTGGGGTTTATCTTACATTTTTCTTCATATAAATTGTGCTGAATCTATCTTGTCTGGTTTCCAAAACTGTAATGCAAAAGACGTTCTTGGTTGCCATGGTTTGTGATTTGTCAATGGCAGACACCTCCAAAACCTTTATTATTTTTTTTCTTTAGAAAAATAAAAATAATATTAGTTTGAAGTTCTAAAGAGCTCGCATTTCTCAAAAATAGATGGAACATGTGAGAACAATTAAATAAGTACCTGCAATATGGTGTTTTTCACCATAGTGTGTCTGGGCGGAGGAAAGCAGCACTCTGTAAGGACGTTTTGTCTGTGAGGTCTGTTGTCCTGGTTCTCCTTGGGAAGTTCACTCTAATACACCTTTCCTGCATACGACTTGTGTCTTCCTGGACTAAGATTTTTTATTACTTCATTCTGTATCCCATTTCTCTTTTTATTCCTTCATACCCCTTACATACCCCCTATACCCAAAGATGACAAGAACCACCACCAGCAAGTTAGGTGGGAGGTATATAAACCAAGGACTTTCGTCCTGTAACATAGCTTCCTAGATCTTGATGACAAGCTGCTGCTTTTCATTTTCACTTGGTTTCAAGATTTTTTAATGTAAGGGTTAGAAGCATGTGCTAGGTTTGTCCCCTTGGCACACACAGAGACGTTCTGTAATGTTCATAAGAATTGCTTGCTTTAGATTTACATCAAGACGAAAAGATGTTTTTAAATATTTGTATGTAATTTTATGCACTGTGGGTTGTTATTCAGGTTCCAATTACCCAGAATGAGGGTTAACCAAGTTGTCATTCCTCTGGTTGACCACTCAAGACCATTTCATCACGCATCAACAATTCAATCAAGCAGAAATGAAATTCAAAGCAGATAGTACGATTGTGTGTTAGGCGCTAGACTTATTATTAGCGCTTTATTTTAGTTTTGTACATAACTTTTAGACCGAATGCCCTAAGCTTAATTGCCAACATCCAGTGTAACCTCCCTCCTCCATCCCACCTGGAGTTTCTGTTCTTTGTTACCAGGTAACTAGTAGTTAACTTTAGTACTGAAACCTGCATGCAACATTTTATCTAGGAATTTTAGGGAAACTGGATAGAGATATTGATACACTTCATGGAAGAATGAGAAGACTCATCCTGATGACTTGCTGATGATAGGTTTATAATAATTACAAATTAACTCTTAGCGGGTGAATGATTTGCTGCTGGTCACACAGAGCAGAAGCACCATGGCTGGTATTCTATGAGCTCCAGGCTGAGGACAGAGGCCAGGAAATGAGTTGTTTTTTGTCCCTTCCAGAGTGCCACGGTGCTAAGGAAATATGGGAGGACTCCGTGTGCACCATTTCTGTGCCTAAGTAATTCATATAATCTCTGCCTCTTCTTCCCTTGAGCTGTTCTCAGCTTAACTCTTGCTTGCCTAGTTTGTACTTTATCAAACTAGAATTCGTGAAAGCCTTTCTTGGGGGGAAAAGTCTCCCCATCAGACTTGTGTTCAGAGATGTGGTTTGTTTTTGTTTTCTGTTTTGTGTGAGGCATTTCTCCCCCTACTATTTCGGGAAGTAAATTTCGGGAAAGGGAGAGAAGGTGGTGGTCGGGCCGTGCAGGCTGAGCGGAGCTGCCCCCCAGCCGCACAAAGTGTGCGGACCGCCAGCTCCCAGGCGTGCGCCAGCAGCGGGCCCATTTAGTCGGAGACCTCTTTTGCTTTTTCACATTTTGAACAGATGTAACCGAGGAAGCTGCATATTGAGTGTTGGAACTGACTTGGAAATGAAACCGTCATTTTGTTCACAAGGAAAGAATTGTTTTTAGTCTGGATCACTGCTGCGGAGAGAAAATTTTTTTCCTCTCTTTCTGTAATGTTTGATACTTGAGGGAAAACAGCTGGGCCCGAGCGTACTGAGTCTCTGCAAACAAAATGGGATGCTGGGGACTAGGGACTGTGCTGTGCACCGGAAAGGTCAGCCTTGTCCCTCGTCCCTCTCCGAGGAATGTGGGGTCTGTCCTCACACACTCGCCTTGTGAGCCCTCAGAAGGAGCCGGGGAGGAGGATGGCCCTGCTGCTGTGTGGCAGACAGTCCTAACCAATGGGCAAGAAGAAGGCGTTTTGCGTGTCTTCCCCTTTCCTGCCCTGCTGGTTTTGATTTTCAGGGAAGGACTGGAAAAAGTCAACAGAATTTTGGTTTGGAGAAGTAGCTGATGACCATGTTAAACAGCCAGTCCTGATGGGCCAGACAGAGGAGAGGCAGCCCAAACCACAGCAGTGGACCTGCAATTGCAGAGCTGGCCTTGGAGAGAAAGTCCTCCTCCTAAAAGAGGACAGGGAATTGGTTAAGACAAATGTCCCCACATGTCACTTGAGGGCAAGGATGTGTGTTTTGGTGCCCAGGACCTAATTCTACACTGAATTAGATCTTAGGATGGTACGTGGGCATTGTAAACCTGTTGGGCCAATGCATCGGTGTCCCGAGTTCAGTGACACAGCTGCCAAGGTTCAGCCTGGCAGCAAGGCCGGCTGCATCTGGCTACACGAGCAAGGCTCTGGAGCAGTTATCGGGTTAACTTTCCCTTTGTTTCTTTGCCAGTCAAGAGAACAATCGGATGATGAGACCGAGGAGTCGGTGAAGTTTAAGAGGTTACACAAGCTGGTAAACTCCACTCGAAGAGTCCGAAAGAAACTAATTAGGGTGGAAGAAATGAAAAAACCCAGCACTGAAGGTAAAATAATCATAATACTAATAAGAATACAACTCTACTCTGGTTATTCTGAAGGAAATTATGTGGGGTCAGTTTCTCAGTAGGAAAAAATTAAGGTATCAAGTGGAAAGGGATTGAGTTCTAGCGGAGGCCGACAGAAACGAGTCTGCATGTGGACTCGGCCATGTTATGGAATGGAGGAGCCCAGTGTTAAAAGCATTTGGGGTGCTTAGTAATTTAAGTGTCACAGAGATGGGAGATGGCCAGTATATGCCAATAAAATGTTCTCATGGTGTGCTGTAGCTTTAACTATGAGCTTGTACCATTTTATACAAATTTTCATTATAACTTATTTATAGCATAAGCCTCAGCCCCCCCCCCCCCCCCTCAAAAGAACTATAGTTCCTGCTCAGTGAGTTTAGTCCAGATTGGATGTCCACACATCTTGAGCAAATATCCACAAGTCAAGGCTATTTAATGTCCCTTCTGATCTCTCTGGGATGATTTGTTCTTCCTGTAAATAGTCTTAGGTCTCAATTCAGATGGGCCTATAAAGACCTTCAATTCTGAAGGGACCTTTAAGATTATAGTGTTGGGTTTAGCCCCATGAAACTATAATGTCAAAAGAGACAACAGTGGGCAGCACCCGTGGCTCAGAGGAGTAGGGTGCTAGCCCTATATACAAGAGACTGCAGGTTCAAACCCAGCCGTGCCCCCCCCCCCCCAAAAAAAAGAGATAGCAGCTTGGATTTACTTTTTTTTTAAGGAAAAGGATATTACTTGTGGCCAGGTGTGGTGTTTCATGCCTGTAATCCTAGCACTCTGAGAGGACAAGGCAGGTGGATCACTTGAGCTCAGAAATTTGAGACCAGCCTAAACAAAAATGAGGCCCCATCTCTACTAAAAATAGAAAAATTAGCCTGGTGTTGTGTTGGGGACCTTGTAGTCCCAGCTACTTGGGATGCTGAGGCAAGGAGATCACTTAAGCCCAAGAGTTTGAGATTGCTATGAACTATGACACCAGGGCACAGAGAAAGACTCTGTCTCAAAAAAGGGTGAGGGGATATTACTTGTTAAAATGCAACATCTATATTGTGAGGAATCCTAAAATTTTAATGTATAGGTTTTAAATTTATCTTTGTAAAGGCCTATTTGTTATGTATAAATAAAATTAAGCCAAATAGGGAAATGAATTTCCTCTTATTTGCAAAGGTAAGGGTTTCTCGTTATTACTGCCTCTTTTTAATCTTATTATTGGTGCTTTGTGTTTTAGTCTTTTTTTTATTATGTATCAGTTTAAATCCCCTAGAACAATATGGAAGGTAAGGGGGCTATTATGGGAGGGTAGGGGTTAGGAGGGAAAAGAAAAGAGGAGAGAGAAAGAAAAAAAATCAGCCCCCTTTCTCCCCCGTCACCCAGGCTGGAGTACAGTGGCATCGCATAGCTCATTGTAACCTCAGACTCTTGGCCTCAAGCAGTCCTGTCTTGGCCTCTCAAGGTTCTGGGAGAAATCAACCTTGGGTTGTCATTAATTCCAGCCTTTCGTCTGGAGGGCCTTAGCACGTGATTATGTTTACTTTGGGTGCCGTGCGCACTTTAGGTTTGGATGCTTTGGTACCTGTCTGGCAGTCGTGGATTCCACAGCATAGAACATTCTCCTGATTTTCTCCTTCTGGGGCAGCTCTTACTGAAATAAGTCTTGGGGTGTCAGAGAGCCAGAAGGAATTGCCAACATTCAACCTGAGGGCATATTTTTAAACAAATCTTATGACCACCTACTAAAATCAAATCTTAAATGTAACAGATAGATGGACGTGTAAATCAGATGGACGTTATAGATGGAAGTATAAATCAGATAAAATGGTTGAAGTACCTAGTGCTGGGCCTGTCACCCATCAGTCCCTCCACACGTGATAGTCACGTGCACCAGAATAACAAGTTTAAAAAGACAGACATATTCTGTTTGCATATGGCAGAGTAAACCAATCCAACCATCTCTGAGAGGCATAGTTAAAAATAAGGAAAAATATACCAAAAGAGGTGATTCTAGGGTAAAAGGTAATAACTGTATAGACTTCTGTCTCTGAATTTTAATTCATCTGGGCATGAATTAGGTTTCACTGATGGAAGATGGACTTAGTGAGCTTGAGTTCCAAGTTACACTCGGTGTCTGATGCACCAGGAGCTGAGATGCCATTGGTGAGGCTTGTTCATATCTTGGGGAGAGGCCCCAGGTGTGTGTAGCTCAGGGCACCTGCTTTGGGCTGCCCCAACACCCTACTAGAATGGAACTCACCCTAGCCCCTGCATAATAGAACTCACTGAGGGTCCTCACTGGCAAAAGGACTGGCCTTATGGGAGGGGCTACTTTGGTCCCGAATCCACACTCCCAATAACCTTTCTTCCCTCATGCCCTTGGACTCACAGAGTCAGTCGATCCTTTGGCTTCCTGCATGCCTGTGGCCCTTACTAAGTTGTCTGCATGGTAATTACCATTTATTTTGAGAATATTCCATATGCCAGGAACTTCCCTAAACACTTGAGATTTTATATTCCCTTTTAACACCATCCTCAGAATAGCACCAGGGACGGGCACTTACACCACCCTCATTTCACAGGTGAGGCGTAGCACTTTATTCCTGGTCCCCCAGCCAGCCAGCGGAAGGCCCAGAGTGACACCCAGGCAGCCTGTGTCTCCACTCTGCTCCCACCTGTCCTCTCCCACCCAGCTCTGGAGCCCTGCGAAAGCCAGGAAGAGTTCTCACTCTTCACTTGGTCGCACCTTTGTAACTTGGGTTCCGGGTTCATTTCCCAGCACTCATGGCTCTGGACAATATTTAATATGGGCCACATTGGTGCCCTTCACCTGCCATTTCTGTGTTTTTGTCCCAGACCGGACACTCTTCCCATTGCTCAGCGGTACCCAGTAATGGACAGCTTTTGTACAGAGCTTGCAGCTTGCTCCAAACCTTCACATACCTCTTTCCACTGAATGTCTTCATGGTAGCCTTGTCGGGGACACCATGTAAAGATAGGTGGGCTGATAACAGATGAGGAAACAGAGGCTCAGAAGGAGGAAGAAATTCCTGCTGAGGGCAGATCTAGGGCTGGAATCCAGCTCATGAATCTGTGTTCTTGGCATTTGCCCACATCCCGCCTCTCTAAGCCCGGCTAAAGTCACCTTCACTTTGGAATTTAGGTCTCAGTTGACTCAGATCAATGAAAGTCTGCCATAGAAAGCAAGTCACACCAAGGGGGATGAGTAGTTGTGCTTTTTCTTTTTTCTTTTTTCTTTTTTTTTTTTTGAGACAGAGTCTTACTCTTGCCCTAGGCTAGAATACCATGGCATCAGCCTAGCTCACAGCAACCCCAGAGTTGTTCAGAGAATCTTCTTGCCTCAGCCCTCCAAGTACTTGGGACTACAGGTGACCTACACAATGCTTGGCTAGTTTTTCTGTTTTTAGAGATGGGATCTTGCTCTTGCTCAGGCTGGTTTTGAACTCCTAAGCTCAAGGGAGCTTCCTGCCTTGGCCTCCCAGAGTGCTAGGATTATAGGCATGAGCCACCTCACCCAGCCTAATTGTGCTTTTAAGTCAGAGGAGGATGGGAGAAGTGATGCTCCAGGCTGGACATCACAGGTCAGGCACAGATAGAGGAGCCCTCACAGCAGAGGACTCCTGCCTGCTCTCACCCAAGGGCTCCACTGCAGAAGGCCTGCTGCCTGCTCTCACCCAAGGTCACACAGCCACTTGGGAAGCACAAGTCACCTTTCCCTTTAACTCCTTACAAGACACAGACTTTCTAGAACCAGCAAATACAGCCACATATGTCATGGGCACGCATGCCCCAGCTGGTCACAGATCCAGATATGATGCAAAAGGCATTGGAGTCTCTGATGAAACCTAACATAGAGGCCAGAAGATGTCCATACCACTAACAAGTGGCAGATTCTTAAAATTTCAAGGGTAGACCCCCCTGACTTCCCTGAACCCCTTAGGACAATGGGTGGATAAGGGCTTTTGCACAACCTTGTGGACACCTGGGCTGAATGGAAAGCCATGGCCAGGGTCAATGTCTTTTATAGAGAAACCTGCTGTTGGGCTGGCTCTGCCACCAGCCTGTGCCCCTGGACTTGGCTCAGATACTTCTTCCTGGAAGTGGAGGGTGGACTGTGTCTAGAAGAGGCGGCTATTTTTACTTGTGATGACATAAAGACCCTTGGTCTCCCCACCTGATTAGTATGGTGTCCTGAGGAAGGAGCAGGAAATTTCCATGATATTTGCTTACAGCCTCTGTCTGGGCTGACAAATTCCCCTCAGAACTCTGGACTCTGCTTTTAAACTCTCCCTAGAGCTCCTTGAACAATTCTTCAGTGGACTTTGGACTGGCCCTAGATTTGAATGAATCTTCCTTCCCCACCCCCACTGTCTCCTGGACATAAACGTGAAGTTGATTTGGGCTGTGTTTAACAGTAGCTGAACCTTTTTCTTCTAAATTTTGAAAGGCCACTCCAGTCTTCTTCCCCCCTCTGAAATGAGCACCCCTCCTCCTTCCTCTCTGACATTTAACCTCACACTAGCACCCTCATCCCTGCTGGTATATTTAGTGCCATGCTTTGTCCTCAGGAAGTTTTTCTTTTTTCCTCTTCACAACTCAGCTAGGGGAAAGCGGCGGAACTCCAAAGTTTCCCTCTAATTAAAGGGCCATGGCCAGTTGAGATCACTACACCCACAGTTTGACCTATTTCTTTTCTCACATCTGTTCACATAACACATCCAGAAAAGAACTCAATTTTCCTGCCAGCAAGTCCAAACCTTTCCACTGGGCTCCAGAGGGCTTGGCTGGCCACCTGAGTCCAGTGAGGACTTTGCTAGCTGGAATCTTTGGGACCGAAGTAGGACGTTCCATGGAGCTGCCTGCGTGTCAGGGGCCTTAAATGCCCTCGCAGCTTCCTAGCAGGGCCGGAGTTGATGGGAATATCTGGCCAGGATCACCCAGATCCCTAATTTTTTGTGCTTGGCCTGCCAACAGGAGATTATTTGTCCATGCATACACAACCTTGCATGCTGCTTGTCTCCACCCAAACTCCCTTGGAGATTTATTCACTTAAATGGCATATGTACCAATAAAAAAAGTCACTGTCAACCACACAGCATTCATCACTCTCCAACTATAAAAAGCCACCAGAACCAAGAGAAAGGAGGGCCCTTTAGAAAGCGGAGAGTCCCATCCCTAGCTCCTAAGGGTTGCACTTTAGAAGCTGGGAGGTAATTATCTTGAAATGCCAAGGCGTATTGTGATAATGACTGGCTTTGAGTTTTGCAAATGGCATTTTCAATAGGTCTGCGAAGGTGCTTGGTCTACAAAGGTATTTAAGAAGGAGAAGGAAACACATCTGAAACCTTTTAACGTGAAGCTCGTGTGAAACGCATTCACACAGTTTATTTTTGTTTTTATGTGCACCTTGAAGTGGGGGAGGTCACTGCGGTCTCTGTGGACTGGATTGCTTTCTGCAGGGTGGGGAGTGTGAATAAAGATGTATGAGAGAATGCCAAGGTGGCGGTCACAGGAGATTCTGTTGGTTCCCCTCCAGGTGGGGAAGAGCACACGCTGGAAAGCCCCCCGGTCCCGGTCCTGGAGGAAAGGTCCGCCCTTTACTCTGGAGTGCACAAGAAGCCGTTTTTCCTTGATGGCTCGCCTGAGAAACCTCCTGAAGATGACTCCGACTCCCTCGCCACCTCTCCATCGTCCAGCAGCCTGGATACCTGGGGAGCCGGCCGGAAGTTGGTCAAAACCTTCAGCAAAGGAGAGAGTCGGGGCCTGATTAAGCCCCCCAAGAAGATGGGGACATTCTTCTCCTACCCAGAAGAAGAAAAGGCCCAGAAGGTGTCCCGCTCCCTCACCGAGGGGGAGATGAAGAAGGGTCTCGGGTCCCTGAGCCACGGGGTAAGTACGGATGGTGTTTGCTTCTATGACAACAACCGTCGCAGGCACCACCTTCTGGTGTCCCTGGAGGAGGTTCAGAGTGTCCGGAAGCAAATCCGCTTGAAGAAAACGGATACTAATTATTCCTGTTCCAGAGCTTTTCTCTGCCAGCGTCCCTCCAGAAAAGGCGTCCCCAGCAGCACCTGCGACCTGCAGCTGCTCCGGCAGAAACCCAAAGGGGGAGGCGGCTGCGGCTTCCCCAGCAGAAGGGTGCGCGGGCGCTCGGCCGTCAGCGAGTTCAATATCACCTACGTGGTGGAGCGGAGTCTGTACAGCCACCTGAACTTGACCCAGCTAGTGCGCCCTGCCTCAGACAGGACCCTGAGCAAGGCTGAGAAACAGGACCTGAGGCGGTGCCTGCTGGAGGAGGAGGAGGAGGCAAAGAGGAAGTGGGCCGCCACGGTCGACCGCTGTACTAAAAGGGTTCTCTTGAGAATCCACCAGAAGTCTGTGAGTCACAACGCTGCTCCCAGGACGGCCTTGTCATTTCTGTGATGTGCAGTCAAGCATTATGGCCTTTCTTCTGGGGAGCTTCCTCCTGCCCTCTTTCCACTCATAACCTCAGGGTCCATTCCACCCTCACCTCAAACTCCAAATCCTACTTTCACTTAGAGGCGGCCTCTCTCCTTTTCCATTGATCCGCTTGCCAGTTGAGGCTGGTCCAGAGAGGGGCTTCCAGGGCACAGGGTGGGGTCTGGCTGCCTTTGGGGTGGCTGTGTTGGTTCCCAGCCATCACGTCACTTGACCTCAAAGAAGCTGATGCAAAACAGACGGGCACTTCGCCCTTGAAAGCGATGCTTACTCTTTCAGTTAATTAAAACAATAGGAGCTAGCTCACGGAAAGCTTGTCATCATCACAGTCACCGATCCTGTAATTTGAAAGTATTGTGAAGTACATTTATTTTATTAGTGGGGCAAGTAGGAGGTTTGTAAGTCTAACAAGAAAGAAAAAAATCAGAGCCCTTTTGTTCTGTTTAAGTCTATTCGACATCCTTATCTTTTTAAACAAATGAATGGATGTTTGGAAAGGTCCCTCACTGCCCCGTGGATTCTTGGGTGTGTAACTAGGATAAGGTACTTTTAAGTAGTAGATTGTTTTTCACTTTTAATACTGAATGATCAGAGACCTAGTATAATTGATTTTCAGGGCATGACTTACTTTGAAGTTCACAGTATGGGTATTTTTCCTTGTGAAATTCCCACCTAACTTTGGCCCACGTAGAATGTGCTGAGTGAGGAAGAGTCTGGCATTCCTGGCTTACTGCACTTGGGACTGCTGGCTCTGGGCTCCTTTTAAGATCTGAAAGAACTGAGTATGCTTCCATAGTCGCTTTCACCAGAGGCCCCTCATATTCGTGAATAAGAATTTCTTCCCCAGATGATTACTATTACTTAAAGCCATTTAATCAAGTTGCGCTTTTTCTTAACCTTTTGGGTTTTCCAAGTATTTCCTCACCTGCCAACCTTCCTAGATCCCATTTTCTGTCTTTTCACATTCATATAATTCTTGCAACACTTGTAATATAATTAGTGTGTAGTAGAAACCTTCCTTCTGGCTCTGCATCATGGCAACTATTTTTTGCTAGTTTTGTCTTTATTTTAAAATAACAGAATCCTCTTTCTCACTCATTCAGCCTCTGGTCTGCTGTGGCCCATGGATCTTTTGTAAAATACCAATTTTAGTATTATTTATTTATTTTTGCAGTTTTGGGGCAGGGCTGGGTTTTGAACTCACCACCTCTGGCATATGGGACCAGTGCCCTACTCCTTAAGCCACAGGCACCACCCAGTATCATTTATTTTTTTACCTTCAGAAGCCTTCTGTCCAGTTCATCTGACTTCGTGCCTTTGGACCTTACCTTTATGAAACAGATCCACTCCTTCTCTGTTAATTGGTGACTCACCTCTGTGAGTTTTAATCATGTAATACTGAGGATTTACCCAATCTGAGCACCTTGAGTTGCTTATGTCCCTCTCACTTTGTTTATTGCCAGGTTAGTGATATAACTTCATCACAACTTTCTCTCTAGACCAGTGTTTTTCGACCTCTTTTATGTCACCGCACACTTGAATTGAACCTGCAGTTAAACTTCCATGACACACTTAAATTATGTTGATTAAAAAAAGGGGGGGGGAGGGGAAGAATTTACTGTGCTTTGAACTTCTTTTGAAAACGATTTAATTAGTGATCTTTAAAAAGGTTCATGGCACACCTAAGATCCTCTCAGTGAAAAATCACTGCTCTAGGAGTTACAATTCTGAAGCTTATGCTAATTAACGTTGTGGGCCAGTGATTAACTCTTCATTGATACCGAGTGTGGACATCTGGCCGACTTTGTTTCTAAGCGCCAATCTCACCTTCCCTCCTACCTCCAGACAAGCTGGTACTAAGTAATCTCTATCCCAAGTATCAGTGTGAGACTGAACTATGTTTCTTTTTTTTGTTTTTGTTTTTGTTTTTGCAGTTTTTTGCCGGGGGTTGGGTTTGAACCCACCACCTTCGGTAGATGAGGCCGGCGCCCTACTCCTTTGAGCCACAGGCGCCGCCCTAGACTGAGCTATGTTATAGGTACTATGAACTTGAGAAGTACTGGACAGTTTTAATATTTGTTAAAATATGTATTCAATACTAAATTAGAAATTTGCACATACCTTTTGTAAGTGCAATTATGTAATCAGAAAAATTTTAATTTTCTAATTAACGTAGAGAATGTAAAAGAAAGTGGTTTTTTTTTTTTTTTTGAGCTGGAGCCTCAAGCTGTCCCCCTGGGTAGAGTGCCATGGCATCACGCTCACAGCAACCTCCAACTCCTGGGCTCAAGTGAGTCTCCTGCCTCAGCCTCCCAAGTAGCTGGGACCACAGGCGCCCGCCACCACGCCCGGCCATTTTTTGGTTCAGACATCATTGTTGTTTGGCGGGCCCAGGCTGGGGATTCGAACCCGCCATCTTAGGTGTATGTGGCTGGCGCCTCAGCCGCTTGAGCCACAGGTGCCGAGCCAAGAAAGTGTTCTAATAATAGAGCTTTTTTTTCCTCGTTAAAGAGGGATTACTCTTGACTTCTTTGCTAAGTTTATTGTAAGAGTTCTTTTCTATTCTCCTCATCATATATTTCCTTCATTTTATCCAAACGTTTCCTTTCATCTTCAACTTTGATCTTTTTGTCTTTCAAAAATGCCATATTTGCTTGATGAAACCTCAGGGAAATGATAATGCCTTGTATCCATTGGAAGTGGTCACTTGTCATTGCTTTTTATTTGGTCATTGTTTCATTTGGGAGAACAGACATGCATGACATTTTGGACTTTTGTTCATTTTTAAATTCAGTCCCCTCAAAACGTGTTTCCAACTGCATGACCATTCCATTGACTAGTGCTTCTCATCACAAGTATCAACCTGAAATGTTTTTATAATTATCTGTACAGAACATGTATGAACTAAAAAAATCTTCATTTAGGCTTCATTATTCAGATCAGTGGTTCCCAACCTTCCTAACGCCGCTGCCCTTTAATACAGTTCCTGTGGGTCATGACCCACAGGTTGAGAACTGCTGATTTAGATTGTCAAGGTCAAAGACTAGTTTATTTTCCTTTTACTATGCTCTTTACCATCCATTTCTCTTTTGAAGGAGTGCTGCTTCAAGAACTATTTGATGTTGTAGAAAACAAATTGGAGATTAATTCAAGCAATATTTATTGTTATATTCTTTGTCAGTCCTCCACGGATAAAAAGGAGTCAGTTTCAGATAACTGAGCGTATCACTGGGAGAGACTTTAGTTGGTGGTTAAGAACATCAGTCTGTCCTTTAAGCTTTTCATTTTAGGAATCCATGCATCCAGCAGGCATATGAAAACTTAAATGAGCTTCCAACTTACTGCAGTCACAGTTTCCACATAAATTCTTTGTCGGTTATTTCATATGTATCAGAAATAACGTGCTGGGCTGTGGTGCTGCATAGATGCTGTAGTTGAAAGCAGGGACTTGCTAAACATAAAGTGATCAGGCATCTGGGTGCCACACTGTGTCTGTGAAGCCCTGAGTCACAAGAAAGGAACTAGAATCAAGTCATTGCTTTTGCAAGAATGAGCAAACTTGTTTGGCATTGTAAGCTGGAAAGGGAAAGTTAATGTTAAAAATTAGCCTTGAGAGATGCTCCTGACATGACTTACTCTGTTGGGTGATTTGCTGAGTGTTTTATGTAGAAAAGCCTTTCTCTTTACACAGTAGATAGATACAGGTACAAAGGAAATCAGATTCCCATGGATATTTAATATAAAATTAGGGCATGACCGTTGGGAAACAAGTCCATAGTAGATATTAGACAGTGGCCGCAGCATTGGTGGAGAACAGCAGATCCCTGATACCCGGATGTTGGGTGCCCTGACATGCCCTCCTTGTCCCAGGCCTTCCTGGAGGGCAGATTTTGTGGCCTGTTCCTGAGATGCCCTGGTTTTACACTTGAACTCCCAGATTGTGAGGTCTAGAACAAAGCTACAGCCCATAATTTGCATATTGATAATGTTGACTAAGCCTGAACTTCAGTGTAGCAATTATCAGGGTCACCTGCCAAATTCTCAGTTACACTTCATGAAAGGTCATGGGAGAAACCATGATTCATAGAGTGTCTGCCTTGTGACAGTGTACTGAAGTCTTCCAATATGTGATGGAGCTACTGGTTTGTGTGACAGACAGTGTGCTGGGGGCTCCCAGTATGTGATGGAGCTGTTGGTTTGCCAATGAAGAATCCAAAGCTCCGAGAGTTTTAAGTACTTCACCTGTGATCGCACAGCAAGTTAAGTGGCAAACCAGGATTTGGGTCTACATCTGTGTGATTTCAATAACCTAAGCCTTTTTCTTCCAGAATGTTTCTACTCTCTCGATTCAGTTAATTAATATGAGTCTAAAGTACATTTATTTTAAATAAGCAAAGCTTATAATGTATACAATAGAATCTCTGTAAGGCGACCACCCAAGGCACTGGTAACAAACTGTTTTATATACGGAGATGCTCAGCATAAGGAATTGGTCCTACTGTACTGGTACATACACGTGGTGCATGTCCAGTCTATGAAAATGTGATCAGTGTAGGGAGGTGGTCAACTATGGAGATTCTGCTGTATTGTATTTTTCTGCTCATTTTTTCCATTTAATAGCTGGTGGTTAGAGTTCTCTAAAAAATTGGTAATACAAAATGGTAGAGCCCAAATCTACTATTCGACTTCTATGACCAATTTTTGAAAAAGATAATTTGTTGTAACAAAATTAGAGTGTTTTGGGGCGGGGGTGTGTAGAACAGTCATTGAGTAGCTTTTGCTAGAAAAACAACAGCAAATTTGAACCAAGTTCTTCAAATAAAAATATCATGGAAATTTAAGCAGTTCCCTAAAGTTTGAAACAAATTAAAAGGATAATGGAGTTTTTATTGTTTATAACATCAGCATTTTTTTCTATTGAAATTTAAGAGGGTAGTCAAAGACATTGAATCAACACCCCCACCCTCCACCCCACCCCACCCCCGCCATAACCCGGGGCAAATGTGGTGTTGGTGTCTCCACTTCATCCACTGTGAGAAAAGGGGTTATCATTAATTAAGGGGGGCATTTAGATGGGGAAGTTATCAGCATTTTTGGCTAGGATGGAGAAGCAATGAGTGAGTCATACTCTTGGCTTGATTGGGCTACTATAAACATAACCTTTCCCCGCTCCCTTTCTCAGTGATTTGAAACTAAACAAAACAAAAGTCTGTTAGAAAACCTTGCTGTCAGGGTCAGAGCTATAGGGCTTCAGGCCTGGGTTTGCAAGACCATGGAACACATGGGTCCTCCAACACAAATGCCTCCATTTTCACTACTGTAGGTAGCAGAGACTGAGGTGAAGTTCTGTGCTCAGGGATGGGTAGTCTAATAGCACTGAACTCCTGGAGGGAGTCGTGTTTGGGGTACATGGTTGGTTTTTGCACGTTGAAGGGATTGTAGTCCTCCGGTGTAGGCGAAGTTCCAGCGACCTGTTGAAGGGAAGATTGAGTGACACCTCCTTACGACATGAACCATGTGTTTTTTTCCTCATCGTTTCTTGTTTTCTTCTTTCATCCTCTACACATATTTGTGATTCACAGATGTCCTGCCAGTGGGAAGTGGGTCAGTGCCCTGCTTTCGGACTGAAGCATAACCAAATTATTTCCTCCCTGCCCTCTCTTTTCCATAGAGAACCTGTAGTTTTGGAGGGTTCGACTTGACAAATCGTTCTCTGCACGTTGGCAGTAACAGTTCTGACCCGATGGTGAGTATCCGTCAGCGAAAAGCAATAGATTCAGATCCAAACTGTGTTTATGATAGTTTCCCATTTGCTGGGTTTGAGAGTGGATCCTGGGGAATATTTTCCTTTGTAAACCTTAATCATATTTGGAAAGAAACCCTACTTTCCCCATCTTAAAGACTCCCCACTGTTCCATGTGGAACAGATGATGACTCTGGCCACTGCCTCCCTCCTAGAAGTGGCACAGCTCCTTGAAGGCCTTTGTTTGCAACACTCTTCAAGTAACAAATCCAGATGAGTTTGGCTTCTATGGGCTGAGTCACTGTGCATGGCCTTTTCTCCCCACACTCTTCACAAGCCCACAGCTACTACACACATGCCATGCTACAGGATGGAGCCCTGGGATTTGGAGACCAAGAATCTGTACTTGAATTTTCAAAAAAACCCATCTTAGCACAGACCCACTACGTGGCCCACCCCGTAGGCCTTTGTGGTCTGGGGTGTTCTGGCATAAAACCTTGGAGCAAAGCAAACCAGACCACCCAGGCTACTGTCTTTTCATACCTGGTTCTGGACCACCGTTTAGAAACAGGCCACTGCTATGGTGCAAAGTTTTGTTCCCTGCAGTTTGCTTTCTCCGGCCCTACGGGTGAGGGTGAGTCTCACATCCGGTTTTACTCGTCCTTTATGTATTTTGTCATGAAACTATAAAATGAGGATTTCACACTTTATATTTGTTCTGTTCATGGGTTAGCTAAAATATTCTTCTGTCATATATATGTGAAGTGTTTGAGAATTTCCTGGAAGAAAATTAATCTATTTTATTTGCATATCAAGTTTTACTGATGCTTAAACCAATAGTTTTATGGAGTTCATCTTTTATAAAGTGAAAGTATGATTTTTTTTTTTCCTTTTCCAATGGAAAGATTTTTTTGGTTTGTTTTTAAAAGGCAAAGTGAGTAAGAGGTGACCACAATCTAGCTGGCTGGGAGAAGGGAATTTACACACTCTTAGGAGTTGCCCGTACTGAGCAGTGCAGTGACAGAAATCTAATCATGTATTTCCAGCAACTGAGGCCTCACCACTGTGTTCCTTCCCCCTTTCCTTGGGCGATTCAGTAGCATTACCCCCACCCTCTGCCACACTCCTGGGATTACATAAACATTGGTTCAAGTAAATCGCTCTTTGATGAAATATAGTCCCCTTGGGTGTTTGAAATGATGGAAGAAACAAAGCCAGGCAAGAATGTACTGAGAGTAAATAAAATAAAAAATGACTGACATCCTACTTTGAACAAACAAATAGACAAGAAGCCCCTTAGTCAATAGGTTTTAATGTTTAATGAAAGAGATTGAAAAACAGCCCTGTGTTAACTTGAGAACAATTTTAAGATCTTGGAGCATGCCAGTATTTCTGTGAGAGCTAGAACACAAATGGTTTGAGTAATAAAACCTTTTTCTGGGCTTCATTTTCTGGGACTAATGGTACTTGTCACCTTCTGTTTTACAGGGTAAGGAAGGCGATTTTGTGTACAAAGAAGTCATCAAATCGCCCACTGCCTCCCGCATCTCTCTTGGGAAAAAGGTGAAATCAGTGAAGGAGACAATGAGGAAAAGAATGTCTAAAAAATACAGCAGCTCTGTCTCGGAGCAGGTAGGCAGCCACCCAGCAGAAAGCCTCCCTGGTTCTTCTAATGACAAGGACAGCTGAGCTGCTTTTAAATGGTGGATATGGCAGCATTTCCCACAAATTTCAATACGTAGATTGACGTACGTAGATTCTTTGACATTAACCTGCTGCAGGATGATATTTTGTTTCTATAGAAAAACATTCAATCAGTTGCCTTTGTATAATGAAATATTTTAATGGATAAAATAAAAATGTTGGTTTCATTTAAAAAAAAAAACATTCGATCAACAAGCATTTGTTAAAACATCGTGGGTTCAGGCACTGTGCTTGGTGCTGGGAGTATACAATACAGTCTCTGCCTTGGCCTCATATATATATGAGGAAAGATGTGTGTAGAGAAATGATTTCCCTTTTGTGCAGTCAGCACTGTACCTTTCCACAGAAAGGAAGGATTTTACTTTGTAAAATATCCCTTGCTGCAAAATGGATGTCACCAGAATCAAACCTAAAAAAGTTTTTTTGGACAGCCGACGTGTCCAATGTAGTATAAATTGCCCGACAAGCACACAGCCAGCCTGAAAAGTAAACTCAGAAAGTGCGTCCTGGCTCCCGGACTTCAGTAGTAATCGTGTTTCTGAGGGAGGCGTTTGCACTCACTGGCCCTGTCCCAGCCTTTCAGATAGCACAGAATTGATTTTGCCACCCCTTGTTCTATAATCATTGCTAGAAATACGACCAGTTTCTATCTTAATGGCATGGTGGAGAGTGGGCCTTCGAGGTAATTTTGACCATCAGATCTTCCAAACACTCTCCTCTGGCACCTTTATAGTAAGCTTTGTGGCCTGTTGAAGAAGTCCCAGTTCCCCAAATATGTGGGAAATGCTGCTGCTTCTGCCAGATAAAAACAGCAGAGAAAGCAAACGTCCTTGCTCCGCTGCTGCCCTCTGGTGGGCGGAGTGAGCTCAGACGGAGCCTCCTCTGTGAATCACTCAGCACCACCAGCCAGCTGTCAGTGCACTTTGATTCAAACAAAACCTGGGGGACAGCTTCAGTTTGTTACAGTGCTTCCCACGGGGAGGGGAGGTTGAGAGAGGGGTGCAGCTTTGCTCCCCCCATGACCACAGGGCAATGTCTAGTGTTGTTTTGGTAGTCGCACTGGGCTAGAGCGAAGTGGGCATTACTGGCATCTAGTGGGTAGAGGCTGGGGACGCTCCTCCGTGTCCCTGCGTGTGTAGCATGGCCCCACAGCAAAGGATTCCCCATCCAAAATGCTAAAGGTGTTCCTGGCTTATTAGAGCTGCAGGGGAAGTGTGGGATGCCTTCAGTGCATTGTCTTCAGGAGCTTTTCCTGACTTGTTATTTTCTTCCCTGTGTATGAAGACACGATGGTGCGCCTGTATTTCCACCCAGCAGTGAAGTAAACTGTGCACACTCCTGCCAGTGACAGCCTGCCAGAGAATGAAACGCTGCTGATTTAAAGCACTGTATTAAGTTTGCTTTTCCCCAGAACTGAAGCAGCCACTAAAAGCCCTTACAAGCTTATGTTCCCAGCAGTGTTCTACTTTGTGGATCATGAGCATTTAAATGTCATTTTGAGCATTTTTCTATAATTTTACTACCTTATATAGCAATCTTATATTCTTGGTGTTTTTTTCTAAAGCAATCATTTCACATATGTTAAAGAAAAAAAAGGAACGATTGATCGTTATAATGCTTTCTAGAAAGAAAATTAACATGAGATTTTATGTGATTTAAAAAACTTTTTACTAAATATACTGATCATTATGGTAATGATTTTTGTTTTCTCTGCTATATTTGTTTTGTTCCTGCTATATGCCCAGAACCTAGAGTAGGACCTGTTCTTATAGGTAATCAATAAATAATGTGAGGAATAAATTAAATTAAATTAATTTTAAATTAAAATTTTAAATTAAATTAAAATTAATTTTAAATTAAAATTTAATTAAATTTTAAATTTTAAAGCATTTGAGAACACAGAGACATATTTAATACTGCTACTTTTTTTTCTTTCTTTTTTTTTTTTGAGACAGAGCCTCAAGCTATCCCCCTGGGTGGAATGCTGTGGCATCACAGCTTACAGCAACCTCCAACTTCTGGGCTCAGGCGAGTCTCCTGCCTCTGCCTCTCAAGAGCTGGGACCACAGTCCCGACTATTTTTTGGTTGTACCCATCATTGTTGTTTGGTGGGCCCGGGCTGGATTCGAACCCGCCACCTTAGGTGTATGTGGCTTAGCCACTTCAGCCACAGGCGCCAAGCCAATACTGCTCCTTTTCAAAGTTTTCGTTGTGTGTTTATAAAACATTTTTAATTGGAAAGATCACTAACTTTATGATTGAGAAAGGAAGAATGAAATTTTTTTTTTAAAGGAATTCCTATGAGGCAGTGTCAGTAACTTCCCAATAATGGAAACCCTGTTTATAGCTGTTTTTGTGGCTTTTTGCACACTTTTGTTAAATATAAAGCTGAAGCGTGTGTTGGACCAGAATCTGCCATAGCCGATGTCCTTAAATGTTTGCAGGGACTGCAGAATCGCATTAAAGCCTTCTGATGACTCAGCACCATGCAAAATAGCAGGTTTCCTTTAGATGGTTTCGTACTCACGTGGCTATGCAGTGTGCTAGACACTTCTCTATTTTGGCAAGGAAACAGTTCTCACTGCAAACTTTTTGAAGTGTGATACTGTCTATCGATACAGCATCACTAACCACATCAGCTCGTTATGCTTATATGTGCAGAGGAGGAACTGCGGAGTTGCTAGCTTAGCCACCCAGAGAGCCAAAGTACTGCTGAGTCACTGCTGGCAGCTCTCATCCGAAAGAGCTTTCACAGCTTTTACTAACAACACTGAAGAAACTGAAAGAGACTAAAACCATAGGAACTTTTATTATAGACTGAAAAACAGAATTTTTGCTGTATATCTGAGGCTTAAGTTGGTGTTTCTTCAATGATTTCAAATAATTCGGGTCCATAGAAACATAAGAATATGGCCAGTTTTTCTCCCAAGGAATATACTTTTTTTAGGTATAACCATTTCCCTTTAAAGTAGATTAAATAGCATCTGATGGTCCTTCATATCATATTGGTAGTGGATTATACTTGATCTGCATTTAAAGTCCAGCCTTGTTGGACTTCTGAGCATGCTGGGTCTCTAAGCCTTTAACTCAGTGGTTCTCAACCTGTGGGTCGTGGCCCAGAACTGTATCAAAGGCTCTCGGCATTAGGAAGGTTGAGAACCACTGCTTTAACTGAATATTTCCTCTGTGGTAGATTTTTCTCAGAGATCTCAAGAATCTTTCTTTGAGCATAGAAAGTAATCTCTGAGGGCTTAATAAATATTAACATGTGCCTCAACTTTTAAAATTAACCAAGGATGTAAGATAAACAGGAGAAGACTATTTGGCATAGGATTGAATATGGGTATAAATATTGATCTGATTGATTCAGCTGAGGACTAAATTGCTGAGAATTACAACCCAGCACCTGTCTTCTCTGGTGAAGCTATTTCACTTTACTGAACGCATTTCAGGACTCTGGCCTTGATGGAATGCCGGGCTCCCCGCCGCCTTCACAGCCTGACCCGGAGCACATGGACAAACCCAAGCTCAAAGCCGGGGGTTCTGTGGAAAGTCTTCGGAGTTCTCTGAGTGGCCAGAGCTCCATGAGTAAGTCTCATTTGTCACTGGAGATGCTTTTCTTTGGAGTTAAAGCCAGACATTTATTGAGCGCCAGGTTCAGGCAATTTAAAGATACAAAGACCAAGTTCCCATCCTTGGGGAGTTGCTGGAGAGTCAGACCTGCCAGCTCTGTGGACCGTCCGTGTTTAGTGGTGGACATACAGCAGTGGCACAGAAGAAGGGATGATTAATTTTCATCAGGGAAGACAGGGAAGGCATCGCAGAGGAAGGAGCTGGGAAACAGGTGAAAAAGCCAAGCCCGGGAAGATAATCCACACAGTAAAGGGAATGGGGGAGGGAGATGTCCCCGATAACAAATGCCGTGCTACTGGCTCAGGGCCACTGGTCGCTAGCGTCAGCCAAATGATACAGCGAAAGAGACCAAGTCTGCAGCTGCCACTTTTAATGTCTTACCCCTGGGCAAGTTATACAATCTCTCAGAATTTGTTTCCTCATCTGTAAAGTAGGGTGAAGGTCATGTGCATTACAGGTGAGAGCTTGTGAGTGGCAGGGTCAGCATCGAGCACCCAATTGGGCAGGGCCCTCTGTCAGGGAGGCTCCACGTTCTGTGGGTAACTTGCTGTGAGTCCCCTGTCCAAGCAGAGGCTCGGTGAGGGGTGATAATTGGAGAACTCACAGCTGGGCCCGGCTCTGGCCCTGACACCGTGGCAGCCCACGGCCTCCTTTCCCTCTTGCTTTGTTTCCTAATCTGTAATACCTTCAGTCCGTTCCAGCTTGGCTGTGTGTGCGGACTGTGTTCACCCCGGTTCTTCCCGCTTTTCCCATACAGGTGGCCAGACCGTAAGTACCACCGACTCCTCAACCAGCAACAGGGAAAGCGTCAAGTCAGAAGATGGTGATGATGAAGAGCCGCCCTACCGGGGCCCCTTCTGTGGGCGCGCCCGGGTGCACACTGACTTCACCCCCAGCCCCTACGACACAGACTCGCTCAAGCTCAAGGTATCTCTCTCCCCAGCCTCACAGCCATTAACTGGGCTCTTGGGTTCTTCTAAGAGTTTTTCTTTCCTCCTTACTGTTGAATGCTGGGCTGTTATCGTATAGACAGGACAATGTCTGTCTACCTTGGACCACTGGTCTCTTCTATGGTGAAGGACACAACCGTGAGGCAGCCAGCGGTAGAGGCAGGAGAGCCTGTGTTAATCCCTCTATCATTACCACCTTGCCCCCAGCCCTGTCCTCTTGAACTCAGTTTCCCTGGAGAATTCTTGTCACTCTTCACCCCTGGGTTTCTGTATTTTTCTATCTAAAGGAAGATTACTGTGTTTATGTGGGACAGAGGGAGTCCACAGAATGTGCAGTGATTTCAAGACAGGGATTGCCCTTGGCATGGAGCTGGTGGGACATGCATTCTCCAGGAAGTGGAGGGGCTCCAGATGATGGGAGGGTATCCAGAGCATTGGTGGGAGCCCAGCTAAAAGCCCCAGAGATCCTCAGGCAGGCTTGGTCCTGCGGGTGGGAGGATGGATGCCCATGACCTGCGGCCTGCATGGAACAGTCAGAGTGCCCTGTCTGGCTCCTGCCACCCTCCCAGTCATGTCCTCCCTGAGTTGCACAGAAGGGTGACTTGCGGAGCCCTAATTCTGGCCTTGGGGATGTTCTCACATCTGCGTGACTCATGCATCTATCTGATTCATGATTTGTGCTTAAAAATGTACCTAATGGAAAGATCTTTGTTCTCTGGGACCCAGAAAGGAGATATCATTGACATAATCAGCAAACCGCCCATGGGTACCTGGATGGGCCTGTTGAACAACAAAGTTGGTACCTTCAAGTTCATCTACGTGGACGTGCTGAACGATGATGAGGAGAAGCCTAAGCGTCCTGCCCGGAGGAGAAGGAAAGGGAGACCCCCTCAGCCCAAGTCTGTGGAGGACCTCCTTGATCGGATTAACCTGAAGGTCAGTCACCTCGTGTTCTTGCCCCCACTGCCTTTGCCTCTCCTAAACTTACAAGAGAGGTCACTTTAGCACAGAGCAGGGAGTGATCTGTGTTGCCCAGTATGGGTGACCCACTGCTACAATGAGTGTCCATTCTTCTGCAGAAGTGGTTAGCATTGTTTTAGCACTGGCCTTGACCTCAGCTGTGGGCGATAGCATAAGCCCAAGGTCACAACTCCTACTGGAAGGTCTGTAAGCAAAACCCCTGGCCCCCTGCTCATGGCCAGCTCCATGGGGCCATGAGAAGTCTCCTCTGCACCTGTCTCCCACCATCACTCCCAATATTGAGCAGAGTGCGGGTGTATTGGTAGGTTCTATCTCCTCTTGGCAAAACCATTGTTGCTCTTCAGTGGTTCACAGGGCTTTTGGAGTTGGATTTTAATGACTGTGTAAGTGAAGGCAGTGTCTCCTCCACTGTGGGCCACGTGGAGTTAAAGGAATTCATTCTTATCAAGGGCACAAATAACACGGGCAGCAGATTCCACCATAGCCCACAATGTGCAGCTTAACCCATGATTAATAAAATATGCCTACTAAGTGGGAGGACTGGAAGGTGCGTACACTATTGCAAATGATACTCGCTAATCTTTCCATTAGCATAAAAGGAACGAAAGGGGAGAAGTGCAGGGCTTGGAGGCAGAGTGGTGCGATCTCTCATGTGGCTACTCCAGCTGACCCACTTCTGCCTTCTTCCTCCCTCTCCCAGGAGCACATGCCCACTTTCCTGTTCAATGGATATGAAGACCTGGACACCTTTAAGCTGCTGGAAGAGGAAGACTTGGATGAGCTAAATATCAGGGACCCAGAGCACAGAGCTGTGCTCTTGACAGCAGTGGAGCTGTTACAAGAATATGACAGTAAGTCCCGCCATGCGCAAAGGTGGTCCCTGTGAGACCAGCCATGAGCTTCAGTTACCAGCAGGCCTACAGATGTTGCCATTTGCACTTAGGTCCCGAGTCACTCATTTGGTCCTGCTCTTTCTAAAGCCAAGGTCAATTTCATATTATGTCAAACAGCACAAAGGCACAAATTCCCAGTATTGACCTTCCTGTTAACACGGGAGCAAAAGCAAACCTGACTCCCCACTGGTATCTTTCATGGTGCATCTCTAGGTAACGTCGAGGTTGATGCTGCATCAAGTTGATGCTGATGTTGCATCAGGTATCTATGAGAAGTGAATTACGGTTTTCCTAAGAAATGAACAGACTCCACCTTAGCTACTGTTGGTCCATTCAGCCTTCAGCAAGCCTGTAGGATACCTGGATGCAAAAGTGACTGAGCAACTGGGATTTTCTCCCCCAGCTAAGGGTTAATTATTTCTCAAAGCAGATGAGGTTTTTTTTTTTCTCCTTATCAAATAGATTGGTTAGTGAATAACTGAAATTCATCAGCTTCTGTTAAAGGAGAAGGAAATGGCTCTTTCAAGTGCATATATAGAGCAGAGAATTCCATTCCATTGATTGGCTTGCAAATTTCCAACCTGAATGACAGCTTATTTTTACAGCCTGTGAACAGAATTATCAGTGAGCTCAGTGCTTTTATGGAATCTTTTTGAATACACCACATCCTTTGCTCCATTAACCCAGTCTTTCCTGGGTCTTTATTCTTCAATCTGACATCAGAAATAGTCTTGAAATCATTCTTCACAAGGGGAGTATCTTTTCCAGTTATTGAATTCAAACATATTTTCTTTCAAGGGCTCTGCTTCAAGGGTATCAGTAGCTAATAGCATTTCTATTACCAAAAGACACACCGAAACCCTGGTTAGTGGTGGGGAAAAAAAATTATACATTACGGAATGTATCAGGCCCAAGAGACATGGAAGCAAGTGTGTCATAAGGTTAAATTCACTTCTGCTAAACGAGTCCTCCCTCTAAATTAACTGATAACATAGAGGAACACACACCATCAAACAGATGCCTGAGCCCAAGATAAACAGGCTGCCTGCAGGGATAGATTTGGAGGGAATTGTGATTCATGCTTGATATCACTTTATAACCAGGTCTTTTAGTATTTGAATTCCGCTGCCCCCAGAAACACCTGGGAGGGTGTCTATGGCCAGGTTGTGTGGAAAGAGTTTCACAGTGATGGGTACAGCTGACCAGCTCTGTTAATATGCATTAACGTTAAGTCAGGTAGTCTCCTAAGCCGTATCTGCTCTAACACAGCTCATTAGCTCTTCCTCAACCTGAGAACATCTGGTCTTTGTACACTGTCCGTTGCGTTTCCTTTCTCATTTGCAGTGTAGGAGGAGCTGAGCCAGATACTGACGACAGGGCAGGGACCCGTGTTAGTCGGTTTCATGCCACGTTGCCTCCTGCTCCTTGTCCCTCCTGGGATCACATCCTGATGTTTGTGCTGGGGGCTTTGGAGGGCATGCTTTATCCATCAGGATGCCGCATCAGAAGGCTGAGAAGGCCTCTCTGTTTCTTTGTAAATCCCATTTTGGATCCATACTGTTACCTTGATAGATAAAGTAGTAAGTACTTCCTTTCATCGATTCCGAAACAAAGGCTTTAAGGCAGCAGTTCTCAACCTGTGAGTTGCGACAGGTTGAGGAAGGTTGAGAACCACTGCTTTAAGGGCTCAGAAGTACCAATTAGGGTCCTGAGTCTGGGTCCAGACATATCCTAGGGTCATAAGATTTCACATCTACTATAGTTAACTTCATTGTGGTTAAGAAGTACTCTGTCAACCTAACTGATGATAACTTAGAGGAACATGATAGGTTTCTGTAAAATTCAGTTTCTAGACACTAGAGAGGTAGAGGTCTTTGAAGATATGAGATCTTTGAAGATATGTAGAGATTCTGAAAGTTTTCTAGCTTAGCCTTCCACTAAGAGCAAAATGTCCAGCTCTGCTTAGAAGGCGGACTGGTCCAGCCTCTCTCACTGCGTGGAGAATTCCCCTCCTCACTCAGGGTTCCATTTGGAGCAGACCCCTAATTGCCAGGTGGCAGCTCTTCCTTACACGGAGCCCAAAACCACTATCTTAGGTCTGCCAAATGAGAGCTCCTTAAAAAAAAAAAAACTTAAAATTTTTAATTGTGGTAAAATATAGATAATTTAAAGTTTACTGTCTTAATGATTTAAGTGTACAGCTCAGTATAAACAATAGCTTTTTATAAGAATTTAAATTAGGTAAAAAAAATAAAAAATAAAAATAAAAAAACCAGAGCCACAAAAGAAGGAAAAAAAAAGAATTTAAATTAGGGATTACTTTGGATACCCAGAAAAGTACCGAGGAAATTAGAACAAAGATAAACATGTATTTTCTGAATGTAACTAAAGTTAGCATTTTGCTATTTTTGCTTTTTTGCTTCAAACTTTTTTTTTGGGGGTGGGGAGATGGGATCTCATTCTGTCGCCCTGGGACACCATGGCATCATAGCTCACAGCAAACCTCAACCTCTTGGGCACAAGCGATCCTCTTGCCTCAGCCTCCTGAGTAGCTTGGACTAAGGCGCCCACCACAATGTCTGGCTAGTTTTTTTATTATTTATTTATTTATTTATAGAGACAGAGTCTCACTTTGTCACCCCCAGTAGAGTGCTATGGCATCATAACTCACAGCAACCTCAAACTCTTGGGCTCAAGGGATTCTCTTGCCTTAGGAAGATTACAGGTCCCACCACAACACTCTGCTATTTTTTAGAGATGGGGGCTCACTCTGGCTCAGGTTGGTCCAAGTCGTGAGCTCAGATGATCTGCCCACCTCAGCCTCCCAGAGTGCTGGGATTAAAGGCATATGCCACTGCACCAGGCAGTATTTTTAATAGAGACAGGGTCTTGCTCTTGTTCAGGCTAGTCTTGAACTCCTGAGCTCACGCAATCCACCTGCCTCTGCCTCCCAAAGTGCTCAGATCACAGGTATGAGCCACTATGCTTCTCAATTCTTATTCTTTTAAGAAACAGTTATAAGCCAATTGAAAGTCTTCCCCTTCAAGAATCCCATTCCCTTCCCTTCTTCTTTCCCAAAGTAACTGCGCTAGAAAACACCACATGTCCTTGTGCACCACCACCTTTTGCGGTTTGAGGGTCTCATATGTGTCTTAGTATGTTCTGCCTGTGCGTGTGCATGTGTGTCAGCATGGGGGTGAGGGGAACGAGCCCAAGCAGAGGCCCATCAGGTCGTGCTCAAGTGGAATTTTGCTCCATAATCCTGCCCTTTGCTCTTAATCGACTGTGAGGATTCTTAGTATTCTAGCTGCCTTCTTTCTTATCTTTCTCACTTAGTGTTAATACACATAAGTGGGGAAAGTTTATGGTGCTAATTCTACACTACACATAAGAAGCACCCCACTGCAGCCTTATCTTCCTAATGAAGACAGTGAGTCTAGCCCCTTGCCTTATGCCTCCTGATTTTATAAATTGAACTCCTGGTTTCCAGGTGGTGGATTGGATGCCTTCCCTCTGCGTAATAACTTCAGGTATCCTATGGTGTCTTCTGGTGAGGTTGGCATCTCCAAAGATGCAGACTCAGCGTGCATTTCCCTGCCACGGCAGGGAAGGTTTTCTGTTATTCCCATCAGTCAGCACTCTGGAGTCTGTTTTGGCCACCACCACACCCTGAGCTGTTGTTGCCAGGGACACCCCAGACTGGTTCCTCTTCCTCGGTTGTAATGGATAGCTCAAAGCCTTCATTTTATAAGTATCATTTTCCTAAATAACATGCTAGGCTAGAACAAAGGCCACCCCAAATCCACAGGCTTTTCCACGCCATGAGGACATCTTTCTAGAATGTTCTACATTTTGTAGTGGGGACAGTATTTGCTCCTGTGCTTCTAGATATTAAGTTTTCATTAATTATTTTAAAAAACAACACTCTTAACTTGGGATTCTAATTGAAGAACTCATTCTGCCGTGTTCGCTGCCATACTTTGTGTCACAGAATGCTTTCCCTGTGAGAAACACAAACAGGAAGTGGCCAGAGGGCCCCAGGGACAGCTGGCATATCTGTGGGTTGGCAGCCCTCTGCCTCCCCACATTTCTGTTTTGATGACCAGAGGAAAGGCATCATATTTCTGGTTTATTGATTTTTTTCCCCCGTGTGTGTGGTTGGAAGGGTGGGGATAAGAGGTGAAGAGAGAGGAACATCAAGCAGTGTAACAACTAGCTATTCTATGCAGAAAATGGTTTTTTGGTTTCCGTTTTGTGTGAACGAGCACTTTCTCTGCCTAATAATGTAAAGCTGTTCTGTCCCCATGTAAGGGGACACTGTGTAGAGCTTGGGGGGGTGCGGTTGGGGGGACCACGTGACTTCCCACGTGGTTTCCTCCAGGCGGACTCAGAAGCCGCTGATGTTTCTCTTGATTCCCTCCCCACCCCCAGCTTTACTGAGGTATAGTTGACAAAGAAAGGTGCTGCTTGTTATCAGTGTTCCTCAGAATAAGGTTGTGGAATTTTCAGTCCGTAAGTGTATCTTTGACTCAGTTTCTAAGTTAAAGGGTTTCCATGTCTTACCCTGCTATGTAGGAAATAAAAATGCTGGCCCAAGACAAGGGGGGAAGCAGAAAAGAAGGGAAACCCTCTGACTCTTCCAAAAACAGAAACCAACAAAGATTTGCCACTATTCCCCTACCTCACCCCCATCACTTTAGGGGTTTGGCCCTCTCCTGCCATCTTACTCCTGCTGAGATAATACAAGAGCCAGCACATATCCCCAAGGGCTAAGAATGTGCCTAAATGCTAATGTGATGCTTTATTAGCTCCCAAATTTGGAAAGCTGGTCATGTAAATGGCTTGAAGCCCAAGTCTCAAGATCTCTGAAGAGCATATGCCCTAATCCCACCTCATGGAATGGGGCCTTCATTAGCTCTTGACTTCTCCTGGACTCAGAAGGGACTAGGCCTGTTCCTCTCCACTGCCAGTAGGGTGCTTTGCAATCCCCCTCTCCTCATAGGCTTGACCCAGAGTCAGCCTCTGTTTGGGTAAGTTAAAAGGTACCAACATATTGCAACTATATATTTTCTTTCCCAAGTTATCTCCATGTGACTGATACCTTTATCAGAAAGAAAAATGTTCTGATCTCAGCTAGTTTATTTTGATCTTACTTACTTTAAAATAATCTGTTCTCCTCTAAAAGTGGAAGGCTCAAAAGTATACAGTTAAATCTGAGGATAAAGTCCTTTGAAACCTTTGCCCTTCGCTGCTCTTCTGATCCATACTCTGTGTTCACCTTCTTCTCAAGGTAACAGCGACCAGTCCGGATCCCAGGAGAAGCTGCTTGTCGACGGCCAGGGCCTGAGCGGACGCTCCCCCCGAGACTCGGGGTGCTACGAAAGCAGTGAGAACTTGGAAAACGGTACTGTCAGCACAGGTCACCAGGACCCTGCTCTTGACTATTACTGATTTCAAAAAGATGATTTTCTCCAAAAGAACGATTCTGTTACCATTACGAACTTGGTGCAAATCTTTCCCTTCCTGACCTCTTCCCGCTTCTAGCCTATACTTAGTCTCCCTGTCTTTTCCTCCTAGCTGCTGTGCAAGGTTAATAAATCCCATCTAAAATAGCTCCAGCTGTAAAACCTAAATGGCGTATCCCCTATGCCCTTTTCTTTTCACAGTAAAAACCAACATTGAAGTGTTGGGAGCTATTAGGTCCATAAAAAACAATTTCCCAGGTGGGCCATCCATCAGGGTCACCCCAGCAGTGGTGTCCTCAGCGGTGAGCTGCTCGCAGTCACTGCAGAAGGGGGGGGATTGGATGGCCACATTTTATCTGTTGCTTTCCCGTACTGACAGTTGGGAAGCAATCAGTATGAAGTCAGAAATCGTAGCGTTTCAAACAGAAGGAGAGTCTTAAGTGCAGTGGGGTCAGCTGGGTTAAATGTTACTCTGGGTGGCTCTGTAGTTGGCTGTTGTGACCCCCAAATTCCTAGGACAGCAAGATTAGAAGCAGTACTAAAGGGTTGACAGTGACCTAAATCTCTTTCAAACACTTGAAGACCACTGTGGAAAATGCTCAGACTTGCTAGTTTTTAGCTGGTCACGTGTTGAGATAGTAGATCCCGTGTTGAGATGTTTATCGAACACCTACCAGAGCAAACTTTTCAGACTTTAAACCCTAAAGTTGACAGGTGGTTGCCCCACAGGCCCCAAAGCCCAGAGCTGAGCTGAGGCCCACAGTGAACATCTGGTTATAATTTATTAGTGGGTTATGAAATCAATTCAGTGGGTCACGGACAGCAGTTTTATAAGACAAATAGAACAGAAAATACCAGCATGCATTCCATAAGGTAAGGGTTAACCTGGTTGGTATCGTCAGTCTTAATCTTTGCTCCAGTTATGCGTGCCCACACAGACGCCTGTGGGTACTAGATGATGAATGTAAAATTGAGACCCTCTGTGGGCACCAAAACCAGGACTAAGGGGAAACAAGCAGGTTCCCAGGGTGCTCACTTCCAGGTACCAACCGTAGGCTGCCATGACTCTGAGCGTGGACACCCTTGTCGAGTGTGCCCTTGGGGCTCCTTGTTTATCTCACTCGAGTCCTGATTTTGATGAGCATGTCTGGAACCTAAAAATTTGACCCATGAGCCCTGCCACTCAAGCTGTTCTATCAATTTGGGAAGGTAGTAGCTCTCCCCAAACTCTATAATACCCAGGTAGCCTCGGTCCAGACGAGATGAAAAACCAGCTACGTCACAGAGCCTCTTCAGTGTCAGCAAAGTCCTCGTGCAGGTTCCTGAAGGTTTTTCTTTTCTCTTAATAACCTTCCCATACCCCAAATGTTAGTAAATTAATCCTCTAACTGTTCTGCATTGGTGAGGATTTCACAGCTATGACTAGGCAGTATTTTGAATATCCAGAAGAATTCAGGTGCACCTGCTGAAGAACTAGATTAAAGAAGCTGGTGAACCATACTTAGAACTCAAGGTCAATTCAAGGGACTTGCCAATACAAGCCAGAATGTGAAAATAGTACTTATCCATACAGTTAATATTGGGAGTTATGGGGAAGAAAAGTCATATTTCTAAAATTTATGTTGAGGAGGGTTTGAGAATTTTCTGTTTCACTTGATTTTTAAACTGTAATCTGATATGTTTTCTGAAGAAGTGTTTTCTTCATTTATCTGAGATGTTTTTTCTATTCATGAAAGATGAGGCCATTGAGTGTATTCAGTAGTAACTACCATTAAGCTAATAATCTCCACATAACAACAAAGTAATGACCTATAAATGCCCATCTGTTTATTAATGTGGAACATACAGGTGGGACTGGCTTTGAGGTCTCATGTTATTATCCATGACTGAGAACAAATGTCATTTGATTAGATCTCTGCTTTGTAAAATGCAAAGTATTTCACATGTCGATTTGTGTCTTATCACAAGGGTGGAATTATTCATAAAAAATTGAGAAGACCACTGTTCTGGGGTTTTTTTGTTTGTTTTTGTTTTTGAGATATGTTCTCACCTTATCTCCCAGGCTAGGGGACAGTGACCTAATAATAGCTCACTGCAGGCTCCAACCTCCTGTGTTCAAGTGATCCTTCTCTCTCAAGCCTCCTAAGTAGCTAGGGCTACAGGCTTGCTCCACTACACCTGGCTAATTTTGCTATTATTTTCTTTGGCTATAAAAGTGATTTATTTCTTTTCTTCTTTTCTTTCTTTCTTTCTTTCTTTTTTTTTTTTTTTTATTGTTGGGGATTCTTTGAGCGTACAAGAAACCAGGTTACACTGATTGCATTTGTTAGGTAAAGTCCCTCTTAGAATTTTGCTATTTTTTATAGAGGTAGCATCTCACTATGTTGCCCAGACAGATCTGAAACGTGCTTAGTGATCCTCCTGGCTTGATCTCCCAAAGTGCTGAGACTACAGGCATGAGCCACTGCACCTGGCCAAGACAATTGTTCTAGCCATCAGTCTTCGTGTCTAGAATTATGACTGACATGATAATTTTAATATCATCATTTTGGAATTAGAATGACTTTGATAGAAGCCTCTGGAAAACCATGGAAGGAATCTTCTTTCTCTCCCTGCTGATAGTGGCCAAACCACTTACAAAGCCACGGCCCTGGGCCTTTTCTTCCTGCTCCTTTCCCCTCATCCACACAGCATGCACAGAGAGATTTTGTCTGAGAATGTCGGGTTTTTACCCCAAGGTAGCCATTTCCTTCTTCCTCTGAGCACTATTCAACCCTTTCTCTCCCTTCCCAATCAAATCACCCCCTGGCCTAATCCTGGTTGCTTATTTATTGAAAGGGTGACATTACTTATGGGGAGATAGCAATGTTCTAAATGAAATGTTTAGTTTAAAAATGTTTACTGAAGCAATAGATTAGGAAGCAAGCCTTTACTGACAAGGTAGTGGCTTTCCAGAGATCAAAGCCAGCATTTCTCTGTCCCTTCCAAACCAGAAGGGGGTTTTAGAATTTTTGTCTTTTTCTCTGGGCCTAGAGGAGGGGGATCACTGGGCTCTGGTTTTATCATCTGGGGTTTTCCCCTCAAACATCTCAGCCCTACAAACAGACTACTAACGAAAAATGTAATAAGGGACAGTTAATTCGTGCGTCTGTTTAAAGCATTGATGGAAACAAAGCCTGTAGCAGGTGCCTGGCCCACGGACAGCATGGGCTCGGTGCAGTTTTATCAAGCAGCGGCAGCACCAGTTAATCAACAGTCATCAAATAAGTAGGTTGTGTCTGGTGGACAGTTCAGTTATCAGTGTGACAGTTTATGTTGCTTCACTGGGAGCTAGAATCGTATCAGTATTTTATAGCTTGTCTCTGGCAGAGTAGTCACATAAGTTTGTTTACTTGTCTGCTTCAAGGTTGGCCGGCTGTTTCTAGGATAAATTTATTAGAGGGAGCAGCTTGGTGAAAGGTGTGATCACCCTATAGGGGGCACCATTCATAGATCCTGTTCCAGAATTCAGTCCACCTCTCTCTCTTTTTTAAAAAAATTTCAGATGAATATGAGGTTATGAGTGATTAGGTTACATCATTGTGTTTGCTGGGTAAAGTCCCTGTTGTAGTTGTGCCACCTCCATTTCTCAGTCACACCTCAACTCTCCTGTTCTGACTGTGGGAAGTTATGCTCATCAAACAGAAGTCCCATTAATCTGGCTGCTTCTTGGGGTATGGACCAAATCACCCTCCTTCCACAGCGACCGCGGCTAGGAATGGACATTGGGCCTAGATTTATTTTATTGCCTGACACGGCATATTTCTTTTCCCCATAAGCCAATTCATTTTAGTCTTCGGGAGTCCTTTAATAGGACTAAGAATTCTTTCTAAAAATAAAATTGGAACCATAATAAGCTTCTATCATTTTATGTCAGAAAAAGATGATTTTATGTCGCTGGTGATAATTCAACAATAGGATATGAGAGGTGGAGATTCCAGTTATGTTGGCTCACCTTTCTGCGCCAATTTGATTCACTCACTCTTAAAATTCGATTGTAAAATATTCCCTTGTCTCACAGGCAAGACCCGGAAAACTAGCCTCCTGTCTGCCAAGTCGTCAGCCGAGTGCAGCTTAAAGCCTTTCAAGAGGAGCCAGCTGGGGAACTACCCGACGTTGCCTTTAACGAAGTCAGTGGGCGCCCTGAAGCAGGGAGGCGAGGAGGGCAGGCTGGGCGGTGGCCTCCGCCCGGACACATCCAGGGGCTGTGACCCGCCAGGTGTGACTGGTTTGACTAAAAACCGCAGAAGCCTCCCGGTTTCTATCTGCCGGAGCTGTGAGACCCTGGAGGACCCCCAGCCTGTGGAGAGTTGGCCCCGTTCGCATTCCCTGGATGACCTTCAAGGCGAGCCTGGTGCCGAACAGGATGTGCCTAGTGAGGTGACCGGACCCTCCCCTCAGATTGTACCTGAAGTGCCACAGAAGACAAGCACCTCTGCCACGAAGGTCCAGCCTCCTGCACGAGATTCTGCTGTCGACAATGCATTGCTACTGACCCAAAGCAAGAGATTTTCTGAACCTCAGAAAACGACCACTAGGAAACTGGAGGGCTCAATAGCAGCCTCGTCACCTCCTCACTGTTTGCCCAGAAGCTATGATGCTCAACCTTCCGGAGTTAAACACACTTTCCTGAGTGTACCTCTTGAGGGTCACAGAAAAGGACATGATTTGGAAGGAACATACCATCCCCCCAGCACCAAAGAAGGGGTAGAGGCTGAGCAGAGGGGCCCTGAGGCCAGAACACAGCCAAAAAATCCTTCACAGCCTCCACCTGTTCCTGCCAAAAAGAGCAGAGAACGCCTTGCCAATGGACTACACCCTGCTCCTATGGGCCCTGGTGGGACCCTCCCCAGTCCCGATGCACCCTGCCTGCCAGCGAAAAAGGGCAGCCTTGCCAGCCCCACCAGCCCCAGTGACTGTCCACCAGCACCAGCCGCAAGGCCTTCCTCAGCACAGGAGCCTGGCAGCCCACCAAGCACAAGACCACCCCCGTGGCTCGCAGAGCTCCCGGAGAGCACCAGCCTGCAGGAGCATGGTGTGAAGCTGGGCCCAGCCTTGACCAGGAAGGTCTCCTGTGCCCGGGGAGTGGACCTGGAAATGCTCACTGAAAACAAGCTACATGCTGAAGGCATAGACCTCACCGAGGAGCCCTATTCTGATAAGGTATCAAGTGCCCCTGGGCCCATGTTTGTAAGTTAGATGGCTGGGAGAGATGAGCCCCACAGCTCTCCCCATGCCGGCCCAGCAGCACGGGCTGTTCGCTGGTGCAGAATGAACTACACACAGTGGCTTCTGTCTACTGCCAGGACAACAGCATTCTGATGACGCACTTCGGGTCCCCATGTTAAATGCAAATACAGTCCCTGAATTTTCTTTTGCTTTTGCTTGGTTGCTTTTAATTTGGGGCGGCTATCCTTTGCGGGGCAAATGATCAGTGCCAGAACTGGCTTCTGAAAGGGACTGTCCAGTGGACAAGAGAGACCTGGGTTCAGGTGTCCGTGTCTCAACATGTATGAGATTATGTAACGTAACCTTATGTAAACTGAGGTTAAAAATAACCTCCATGACTACCTCTTAGAAGGATTACTAGAACCAAATAAAATAAATGTGAAAATTGAAAATCGTAGAACCCTATTCAATCATAACAATTATGATGACAGTCATCTCTGTGGATAACTGGGGGTGGGGGTTAATATAAATCACCAAAAACATTTAGATTCATAATGAGAAATTATTTCTCATTTGAAGAAAATACATAAGATCTCCCAATACCAAATGCCTTTGAAGACAGATCAGTGATAATAGATTGTCTATATTTTGCTTCTGGAAATCCACGTTTTGTTATGTTGCATTTCTGAGAGTCCTTGTTATAGAATTCTAATGACCATGAATGCCTTAGAATAAGATCCCCCTTCTCCTCCTCTCCCACCCTCACTGATATTTCTTGAATAAGCAAACCCCTTTACAGCACGAAGCAATGAGAATTCTACTCTCCAGTAAAAGCTGGGCTTGTGACATGGTGGTATAACTAATAGAGGAAGCACAAACAGTAGATAGGTATCTGTAGAGGAGAAGTCTGTTGTTCTGTCCTGCAGTTTAGAAGGCCGTCCTCAGTAACATCCAGGGAGTTGTATAATCAGGTTGAGTGAGGTAAAGGCATTGGCCTGAAAAATAATAAGACCATAGTGTTCTGCCTTAATTATGATGCTTTTGCTTGGTTGCTTTTAATGTAGGGCAGCTGTCCTTTGCAGGGAAAATGATTAGAACCTAGAGCTCATCAGTACTTGGAAGATAAAGTCGTTAAAGCTTCCCTCCTGACAATAAAGGAAATATATTCATTTCAAATGAAAACTTTTGGTGCTACTTTCCAGTAGCTAAATGTCTTATCCTGCCTTATGTTTGGTGTAACTTAAAGAATAAAAACTCCTCACTACCTTTGATGCCACATTTTTCTTCTCCCCTGGCAGCATGGACGTTGTGGGATTCCCGAAGCACTGGTACAGAGATATGCAGAGGACTTGGATCAGCCCGAGAGGGACATCGCCACCACCTTGGACCAGATTCGGGTGAAGCTGCTTCGGAAGCAGCACCGCATGGCGGTAAGCAGCCCGCACGCCTCAGGCTGCTGACGTCCAGTTAGTGGCGGAGCTCAGGATGGGCACGCTGGCAGCTGCCAAGGAGGCCAGGGCTCATTGCAGCTGTAGACAGGAGACACCTGGGGAGGAAGGACTGGCTGGTCAGCCAAGAACATTTTGAAAATACAGTTTTGGAAAGGGAGAAAGCAAAACAAACCAAACAAAAAATAAAATCGTCCATATTCCCAGCACGGCAAAGAACTTTTAGAAAACCTGTCTAAAGGACTCAAAATTTTAGTGAGGAGGAATAACTCCAAGAGATCTACGGTATAATGGCCATATGCAGTAGAACCTGCATAGTTGACCACTGGCCACCTCCTTCAGTTGACCTACTTTTCACAGACCAGACATGCACTATATGTACGTATCAGTGCAGTAGGCCCAGCTCCTTATGTCAGCCACTACCTTATGTTGACCAGTTTGTTACAGTCCCTTGGGTGGTCAACTTACAGAGTTTCGACTGTATTATAGACTTGAAAATTGCTAAGAAACATTTGAAGTGTTCTTGCCAAAAAAAACCCAAAAAACCTCGATAAGGTATGTGAGGTAAAGTGTATGTCAATAGCTTGATTTAGCCATTCCACAACATATATGTAAATCAAACCATCATATTGTATACTGTAAACACACACTAGTCTGGTAAAAAACTGTCTCGTTATTTCTTTGCACATGTCCGATAGTCAGTGTACAGTTTTAGAACCAGATTGTTTTCAGTTACTAGATGATAACTCTTGTCTCTCTGTTAATAAAAAATTATTTTATATTATCAGTAAAGGAGTCCCCCTGGTCCCAGTACTCTCCATAAGGTATATGTTCTGAAATCTTCAATGGATTACTTGGGCCCTTAGATAGTACTAAACCCTGTATACAGACAGTACCAAAAAAATGAATACACATTCTAAGAAAGGAAAAAAACTGTATTAAAATTGTACTGCTCAGTATAGACCAGGAACAAAGGACAAATACAAGTCACAATTGAGCACCTCTTACAATTGCAGAAGTCAAACATGACTTGACAATTACAATTTAGGACAGTGTTGTCCTTTCTTGAAATATGTATACATTTTTTGGTACCTTCTGTATACTATGCACCTATTTCTTTTTCTTTCTTCACAATTTCACGGATGGAAAATTTTGTTCTTACCATAGATCTTAGCAACCTCAACATCTAATTCTTTTTCCCCCTTCCCTTAAGTCAAGAATCCACACACCTTTTCACTTAAAAGAAGCACTTTTGGACTTCTCTTTGGCATGTCCAAATTGCCAGCATCACTATGCTTGTACTTTGGGGCCATTTATGAAATCAAACAAGGCTGTATTGAACACAAGCACTGCAGTGCACTGAGCGTTGACCTGGTAATTGAGATGGCAACTAAGTAACTGAGGGACAGGGAGTGTAGGTGGCACGTACCTGCCGGACAAAGGGAGGATTCACATCCCAGGTGGGATGCAGCTGGACTGTGTGACATTTCACCATGCCGCTCAGAATTGTTTATGTCTAGAGTTTTCCACTTAATGTTTTTAGACCACAGAAAGTGAAACCATGGATAAGCAGAGACTACTGTATTTCAGTGTTCTAGTAGATGAATGTACCATCCCCTTAAGCTAATCTCACAGTTTTGAAATGGGCCTTTTCTATTAATATATCTCCATTGACTTCCGAGGTTAATTTCAAAGGATGTGTAAATATTTTTGAAGAGGGTTTGCTCCATCAAAATTGCATAGAACCTCAAGCATTTTCACACCTGTTAGCAAATCACCTTTCTGAAAGGTAAATCTCTTTCTGTACTCAGTGTTCAAAGTTAAACATCCTTTTCCCTGTCCTGGCCAATGCGTGTTTTTGTATTTTAAATTCTTTGTAATTATATTGACTAAATATTTAATTTTCTGATTTTTAATGTAGATTCAAAACATAGTAGAAAATCTACTTTAGGAGAGAGCCTGTGGCTCAAAGGAGTAGGACGCTGGCCTCATATGCTGGAGGTGGCAGGTTCAAACTCGCCCCCAGCCAAAAACTACAAAAAAAAAATCTACTTTATAAAAACCCTCCCCTTTGCGTGTCCCTTTTCATAATACCACACAGGTGACAGATGCAGCTCTTCAAACCACCTTAGGTCTCGTGTGGAAAAGCGTATCATAGGAAGATAACAGTGTGTATGTGTGTATGTTTATATACATACGTATGAAATAAAGAAATGCTTAGTCTGGAGATGTGGACATGTTTAGGTTTGATTTAATTCTAAACACCACTTCTTTGAAGATTTGTCTCAACTTTAAGAATTCTTCATGCTACTCTGGGTCTTTGGCATTCATGACATAATCACTCTCTGATAATAACCTAGCAATGCAGCATTTCAATACTGTCCCTTTTAAGCCTCTGAGGAGTAACCCTCCGATGACACACGTAGGGTTCCTGTAATACTGTTTTCTTTATTTGCTTTCTTGATCCAGATCCCCAGTGGTGGACTCACGGAAATCTGCAGAAAGCCTGTCTCTCCTGGCTGCATTTCGTCCCTGTCGGATTGGCTCGTTTCCATCGGTCTGCCCATGTACAGCAGCCCCCTCTCTGCAGCGGGGGTCAGCACACTGAGCCAAGTGCCTTCTCTGTCCCACACTTGCCTTCAGGAGGCCGGCATCACAGAGGAGAGACACATACGAAAGCTCCTGTCCGCAGCCAGACTCTTCAAACTGCCGCCAGGCCCCGAGGCCATGTAGCCAGGCCCTGCCTGGACAAGAGCCACCTTTCACTGTGCTTACGATGCTGATGCAATTCCCCCATCTCTGGACGCGCAGACCAGATCCAGAAAAGAGGCCCAGCGTGCGGCCAAACAGAGCGCAGAAACTTGGCACAGGACTGAGGACCCTCTCCTCCAGAAAAGCCCCCTCAAGGAAATTAGTGCGATTCTCTTTGACCTTCAAAGAAAAGACAAGCACTTATTTTTATTTTTCAGAATGCAGAAGATGCCAGCTGGTCACAAACGCTGTGCCTCTAGTCTGTCTATGTGCCCTGGCAGAGGCTGGGAAGAGGGAGGACAGCCTGTTCCATTGTGATAGTGCCCTTGCCCTTCTGTCCGTCACCCCGAGGACACCCGAGGGCCAGATGGGCTTAGCTAGGCCAAAGGAACAGACTCGGGAATTATTGTACACTATTGACCATGCTCATTTGTTCAAATGTTAGAACATCTGGCTGCACCAGGAAAGAAAAAAGTCCTATTCTTCTTTAGATAAACAAGAGACATTTTAATAATTGCTTTCTAGCAATCAGCTTTTATTTGCCTTAATCTAAGCTTTTAAGCAGTTATCTAACTAGTGTCCACAACCCTGTAACCATAGTTCCAGATCTTCAGCTTAGACTGCCACCTCACATCTGAAGAAGAAGGCTTTTCTACTGATCCCATTCTAACATGGCTTATTTCGTAGGGGTGTTTGTCAGGCACACATTTCATGTTGGCTTTTGGTTTTTAAACTAACTACAGATCTAGGAAAAAGCTATCAGAAATTCACAAAGGTATCGTGTGTGTGTGTGTGTGTGTGTGGTACTCGCCTTTGATTCTAATCGGTTAGTATTGTTACCATGTGGGTCATTATGCTGCAGTGTTGACTTGGAACCTTGACCTTTCCCGTTCCCAAATTCAGTCATCAGCCAACGGATCACCTTTGCAAAGAGTCACTGTAAGACTGTATATTTCAGAAAGACGTGCTTACAAAGGGAAGTAGTTTATAACATGTTTTTAAAAAGCTTTTTCAGTTTTATAATTAAGATACTGTTATTCTTATTTAGACACTTCTTTTAATTCAAACAAAGGTTCCTTGTGGAGCCAGACAAACCACATTAGCCATGTGTTAAGTGTTTTCGTATTTCATTTGTTTTCCAACCTATTTCAACACATTCTTTTTTCCTTTAGGTTAGTGTCAGATTTTCTATCAGCAAATTTATACAATAAAACTATTAAGGTTTCCCTTGCTTAAAACAAAATGAGTTTCTTCAGTCTTATCGTGGGCACTATTTTAAACACAAACGTGATCAGTTATACTAGAAATACCTTGAACACAGGGCCTTGGTCAAAGTTCTGTAATATTTTACCTACTTATTAAAACAAACGATTTCCCAGGGGCTGGGGGAAGTGATTTCATTCATTACAAAGCCATGTGGAGTATGTGCTTTATCTCTGGATCCATATTTCTAAGGGAAAGGACATTCTCAGGTGATGTGGGGTTTTCTTTTCCCATGCTGTGGTATGCATTTTTTTAAAAAAATAATGTATGTTTCTTCAATAATATTCACCTTCTATAAGATGCCATGTGAAGAAGTTGCGGAAACGTAGAACGGAAAGGTAAAGCTGCCAAATTTCTATTGAACTCTTAAAAACAACTCAGTTTTTGTCCTCTTGGGTTGTGGCCTGGCCCGTTTGAAATGTCGTGAGGCTTAGGGTTCTCCTAAAACGAGAGTAGTCAGCAGATTTCACACGCTGTGGTGGAGACCGGGGCTGTGAAGCAGGCTTCCCTCCCTGCTTTCTGAATATCTTGCTTGACGTTCTGATGAGATTCTGCTCATTATTTCAGCTGAGCAAAAAGCCTACACAAAAGTCACGTACAAGGTAACAGGTGGAGGAGAAATCGTGTGTAGGTTTCCCACCTGTAGTTCATCCTCGGCGTAGGGTTTCCATTTAGGTAAAAGTAACCCCAGAAAAGGCAACTTTCTGGCGTTCTTGACAATGCCAAACCCTATTTTTTTTTATCTTTATTCTTTGGAAATCAATGCCTTTGCAAAGAAAATCAAATTCAGGGACCATGAATAATTTTCAGTGGGAATGTCTAATCTGAGGGGGTCTGAGGGTGTAGCGTTGACTTTATTTTTGTGGTTTAAAAATATATATATTTTTTTTTTACTATATCTTTAGTGTTTGTTTGGTCTTCTTTTGCTTTAAACTTTTCATTGGGTCTGAGAAAAGCCTGAATGTTTGTGTGTGACATTTGACCGAGGCGGTTCGGGGCCACCTGTGGACGTTGTTAAGCAGGTGGCTGGCTTCAGCAATAGCCGGTTTTACTCAGTGGTATTGGGTACAGAATTTTGAGTGACAGTGAACATTGTTGTCTTTGGAAAGCACAAAAGAAACCTGGAAAGGCAGTTTGGCTCAGGTAGCTACACAGAACATTGTGTATAGTTTTTAACTTCACAGCTGGCTGGAAGGAAGGAAGCAGCCGGCTCCAAGGAGTATTTACATTCCCACATAACCAGGAAACAGACATCTTTAAAAGGCCTTGCCTTAGTCAGAGGCCCTTTTCTCTGTCCTGAACCAAGGTGTGAGTGAAATTGGAAACGAATAGTCTATTGGAAATTGGTTCTTGATACAGTAAAGTTAGCTTTCACAGCTGCAGCAAGAGGTCACCTGGCCAAGTCGCCGCTGCACGAGTGTACTGTGTTATTTTCAGAAAAACAGATAATAGTCTGAGTCCAAATGATCTTTGATTTGACATTGATAGAGAAAAGAAACTATCGAGCAAGTTATATAACAACTAACAACATTGCACTTTCTGTATATGAAATCAATATTTAAATAACTTATTTTTCTCCATTGCTGTTCTTAAACATTGTAAGTAGCTGTAATATACCAGTACCAATATGTTCTTGCAATTGCTTCAGCCCGAGAAAGCTGTGTATTGTTTTAAAAATTGTACAAATTATTGTGATGATTCATTTAGCAAAAAGAAAGATGGACAGAAGGGTTTCCCTATGTATCAAAACTTGTCTATAATTCTGTCATCTATGTACCTAGAAAAGAAAGTAAATAAATTCCTTCAGCTGAATATGCCTCTTCTGTTGCTTCTTGAGTAAGAGACCAAACAAATAAATGGAGTAGAAATTAAAGGGAATTTATAGTGAGGTCAAAGGATGAACTATACTGGGAAAATAGTTATATATAATTATTTCTGCCACATCACCAAAATATAACCCTCTGAATGCACCCAGATTCTCTTTGTCAATTTATACATCTTTTTTTCAGATATGCATAATTAAGTCATATAACCAGAAAGAGACCAGGAAGAGATTTTTAGAAGTCATCTTTAGTCTAAACTTTTTTTTTTTTTTTTTTTTTTGGAGACAGAGCCTCAAGCTGTCCCCCTGGGTAGAGTGCCATGACATCACAGCTCACAGCAACCTCCAACTCCTGGGCTCAAGCGAGTCTCCTGCCTCAGCCTCCCAAGTAGCTGGGACCACAGGCACCCACCACAATGCCTGGCTATTTTTTGGTTGCAGCTGTCATCGTTTGGCGGGCCCGGGCTGGATTCGAACCCGCCACCTTAGGTGTATGTGGCTGGGGCCTTAGCCACTTGAGCCACAGGCGCCAAGCCCTTTAGTCTAAACTTACTGTTTTCAAGTGAAGAATCTGAGTCCACACAGGTAGTTGACTTGTTCAATATCATACGGTTAAATGGTAACACAACCCACATCTTTCACTGAGAGAGAGAGAGAAAGGGGAGAAATACATAGGTCTGGATATTCTAAAAATTAATCAACTTGACAAAATGTGTTTTCTACGTTGGTGTACCACAGCTGATACAAGGGTAAGTTTTTAATTGGTGGAGGAGGGTGCTAGCCATCACAATTTTGAGTAGGTAATACCCTGTATGTGCCCTTGAGACAATACAAAACATCACCCTCCCTTCTCAGCCACCTCATTTCTCTCACTAAGGCAACTGTTAGCATCAGCACTGGCCTTTTTTCAGAAAGACTCTTAGGTATTAAGAAACATAATTGCATATGTCTCTTTCCATAAAGAAATAGTAGCATGCTAACTCAACTTTGCTTATAAATTACATCTTATAGACCCTTCCATGTCGACATTCTGTTCTCTCAAAGGCTACACAGTATGCTATTATGCAGGTTTTGTGTTTAGGTCCAGTACACTATGAAATAAAGTCTAACCTTTTGTTGTTATAAAAAAAATTCTTACGAATACCCTTTGATCATTGAAGATGAAAATAACTGTATTAAACTTTACATGTGTTTTAAGTTTTGAAACAGATTATTTTAAACCCACTTTTGAAGGCTTCGTTTTTAAATCCCTACTCTTCCAGTCCATTTTGTAAATAGGGTTATTTTGTGTAATTTTAGAGTGGGGATTCATCCTAACTACTGCTTGATTTTAAAGAACTGACTATAAACCTCGTCTATTTCTTTCAAGCTAACACCTAAGATTCAATGGATTGATTCAAAGAGATTATTTTCTTATTATTTCTAAGAAACCTCAAGCAATATTTATTCTAACATCTCTTTTTTTTTTTTTTTTTTTTTTTTGCAGTTTTGGCCAGGGCTGGATTTGAACCCGCCACCTCTGCCATATGGGGCTGGCGCCTTACTCCTCTGAGCCACAGGTGCCGCCCTATTCTAACATCTCTTCATAGCTGGATACCTACATTGGATTCACCTGGAATTTATAAATTGGATTAAAGAAAAGAGAAGGAGGTTGGTAGTCCTTCTTTAACCACATACTGTAACTCATTTTGGGGGCCTTAGAATAACTACCTTTGCTCTCACCTATGAGGACCCTCTCAGACCAAACTATGTACATAGTACTCCCCAGGACTTTGTGTATGTTTAAGAGAGAAATGAGATAGATACTCAGATGCAGGTCTGCACCACTCATGGGGAGCATGAGCAACCTTATTTGGAAGCATTCCAACTCCTAATACAGCGCCCCATTCAACGCTACCTGCTACCTTGGAGAGGAACGCTGAGCAAGGAATTTAGATGCCACCTCTGTACACTTAGCACCTGAAGATCTAATCACGCTGGGTTTCACTTTGAGGTGGAAGGATCCCAGGTTACTTGTGTAAGAGCCATAGTAGTTAAGACTAATCTGATTGGAATTCACCTCATTCATTCTCCATGGACTGTGCCCAAAACTTGGGTAACAAATATAGTTGGGGCCATAAAAAAGAAGTGCACAAAGGCTGTGGGAAGTAGTGGGAAAACTGACTCAGACCAGGGAGAGAAAAAGCCAGAGGAGGTAGTTACATGGATTATAATGGAATGTCTTCCATGTGCTAGGGATGTTAGACCATGTTAAAAACACAAATGTCTATTTAAAAAGTACAAGAAAATAATTTCTTGTGCTCCCAAACTCCTGGTCCACCGGACTCTCACCCTGAGTGATTCTCTTCCTCACTTAGAATTAGGAAACCATCCAGTGGGGCTCACTGGCACCTCTTAACCCCAGCCCAGAATTCTCATCTAGTCTTTCCTCTCTGCTCCTGCTGTGACAAAGCTGTCTTTCCTTCTGAGCTCAGGACTCTGTACTGGAACTCCTGTGCTCTGCCCCATACCAGGGTTTATTCCACCACTACACTGTAGCTTCCCCTTGAACATGTTTGCAGGGTGCCGATGCTGTCCTTTCCTGGCCAGTCCATAGTCCTCTACTTGGATATCTATACTCTGTATTTCCCTCGGGAGATCTGCACTGTCCACATTTGGAGTGGTTTTCTCCTCCTAGCAGAGCCCAACTCATGTCAGGCCATTCAAGCTCCCTTTCAGTACAATTAGGCTTGATTTGGAACTAAATTGGGCCAGTGGTGGTACCAACAAAGGAGGCACCATCTCTCTTTCTGACCTTTTCTATGCTTATTCAGCCTGTCCTTGGATTCTTTCTACTAAAGGCCATCAATCATTTCTGCTCACATCCCCCCCAAATAATAATAAAAATTTAAGGATTCCTTTGTACATTTTTATTATTATTTTTTATTTATTATTTTTCAAGACAGAGTCTTACTCTGTCACTGTGGGTAGAATGCTGTGGCATCATCATAGCTCACAGCAACCTAGAACTCTTGGGCTTAAGCAATCTCTTGCCTCAGCATCCCAAGAAGTGGGGACTACAGGTGCCCACCATGACGCCTGGCTAGTTTTTCTTTTTTTTTTTTTTTTTCTGTTTCTGTTTCTTTTAGTAGAAATGGGATCTCACTCTTGCTCAGGCTGGTCTCCAGCTCCTCAGCTCAAGGAATCTACCTGTCTGAAGCCTCCCACCCCTTCTACATTTTTAAACTGCCATCTGAAAGTTCTTTTTTTTTCCGGTGAAATGGTTCCAGGAGTCCGCTTTAATTCAAGTACAGCTTCAAGTTGTGATGTTAACTGTTTATAGTTAAAGACTCAAGCATCACTGTTATTTAACAGTATGCAAAGCAAAAGGTGCCACACGCCAAGGACAAACAAGACCAAGCGCCCCACTAAGAAGGACTTTGTTTTTCTTAGAAAAAAAATTCTGGACAGTAATAGTTTATAACACTTCAAAAAAACTACTGGCTGAGGTTTTCAGGAGTTGGGGACTCGAAATGGTGGTGTCCTGCTTCATTAAACGGATGGCACAGGCCATGTGAGACTTAGGGCTATTAAGCCAATATCAATAGCATGAAACTCCCTCCTAATTTTCCTTCTGTGGTCTGCCCTATCCCACAGAAATGCCACCATATAAAGCCCAGGAGCAGCTAGCGTAGGCTCCAGTCTTCCCCTGGGGTAGGGAACGGGGTGGAGGTCACTGCTGGGTCTCCATGCTTTCCTCCTGTTCTCCTGGAAGAGGTGGTTCTTCTGTATTCTCCTCCTCTTCCTCTCCTTCCTTCTCTGGTGGCTTCTCATAAGTCTTTTCTGAGGGTGTCACAATCACTCCAGGCCAAGTAGATATTTCAGAAGCCAGATAGCTGGCATCACCCTTCTGGCCAAGGATCTTCCTAAAGCCACCATGTGAGAGGATTTGGACCAGAGTCTGAGCTGTGTCGCAGACCATGTCCTGCTGTTCCAGGGTCATGACTGTGTGTACTCTGAGGTTGCCACTCTCACGGAGGTCAGGGATACCCACAGAACCTGGCAGGAATAGTCCTGCAGCCAGGATCTGTAAGCAACACCTGCATGCCACATTTAGGGCCAAGGGCCATCGAGTGGGGTTGTTCATCACAGAGTGGTGACCCAGTAGGGTCCAGGGTGTGAGGGGCTCAAAGCCAGGAAAATGAATCCTCAAGTCCTTCAGCAGTCAGATAAGAACTTTGTAGACAGAGAAGCATTTTCCTCAAACCAACTGGCCTGTCAGATGGCTGCTAAGGCACTCTGTAACACCTCTATATCCAAATAAAGTTCTGGGTCCAGTTTTTGGAGATTGGGTGGCACTGTTGTAATGAGAATCTTCACCGTAGCATCAGAACTGATTTCAAAGCCAGTTTCATTGATCAGCATGGTCAAAACTTCAGAAGGATCCTGTGGTCTTAGGCTTCCCACGACCTTGTTCCCCAGGGCAGCAAGAGCTTCCAATGTCAGCAGGATCTTTAGCATGACCACCAGGTCAGCCACATTGTGCCCTGTTGTCACTGTTCCCTTTTCATATGATCCTACCTGTCGGACTTCTTCAATTTGCACTTCAAAGGTTCCTGGAGCCACAATCAAATTGTCAATCACATTGTTTATTTTTGTAACCAGAGAAAGAATAGAGGCCTGTTCAGCAGAATTGGGAGCAAGGTCCTAATTCCTCTCCAGCAAGGCCTCACTGAAGGAAGTTTCATCAGGAGCTGGCTTCAGCCGGGGGAAGGCCGTTTCTCCCAAATAGAAATCAAATGGGGTATGTGGTACAAAGGGCCCGAACCCTCCTCCTGGGCCTCCTCTGGAACCAAAGCGCCCACTACGACCACGGCCTCCATCACCCCTCATGGCAACTTAGATCCAGAACAATGGAGGCCACACCAACAGCCCTACTCCATCTAAAAGTTCTTAATCATTACTTTAAATAGTTGCAATAGTAAATTTCCAGCTGATTGTACATATTTGCATTTTAAAAGAAAACCACAACATTACTTTAAAACATACGAGGGCTGTCTGGAAAGTATCCAGCCACGTAATATGAAAAATAGAGACAGACACAGCTGGACACTTTCCAGACAGCCCTCGTATGCCATAGTGGTTTGATACCTACCATTGCCGATTTAAAACACACAAGAACAAACAATTAAGGCTCGGCGCCTGTGGCTCAAGCAGTTAAGGCACCAGCCACATACACCTAAGGTGGCGGGTTCGAATCCCCAGCCTGGGCCTGCCAAACAACAATGATGGCTGCAACCAAAAAATGGCCAGGCATTGTGGCAGGCGCCTGTAGTCCCAGCTACTTGGGAGGCTGAGGCAGGAGACTCGCTTGAGCCCAGGAGTTGGAGGTTGCTGTGAGCGTGATGCCATGGCACTCTACCCAGGGGGATAGCTTAAGGCTCCATCTCAAAAAAAAAAAAAAAAAGAACAACAATTAAAAAAAAATCACTCTTCTCTTTCCTCCTTGAGACCAAATATCTCTCCTACCTCCTCTGCAAATTTTGCTCCTCATGCAATAGATTTTTATGTGTGAGAATTTTGAATCATTCTGTCATATTTCCCTATAATAAAAATGTTCATTAATTTAAATTTAATTTCTTTCTTGTTTTTTTAAATTAAATCATAGCTGTGTACATTAATGCAGTCATGGTGTACAATGTGCTGGTTTTATATACAATTTGAAATATTTTCATCAAACTGGTTAACATAGCCTTCATGGCATTTTCTCAGTTATTGTGTTAAGACATTTATATTCTACATTTAGTAAGTGTGTGTGAGGAGGAAGGATGGGTGGAGCGAGGGTAATTGGTGGGACCACACCTACGGTGCATCTTACAAGGGTACAGGTACATTTATTTCTTTACATTTCTGTTGATCATTTGGCTCTACCTGTAAAAACGTCTCCTGGATTTAGCTATCCATATCATTACTATAAAATAACTTATCAACATACAGCTATATTAAAATTTTTGGTAAGTAATGGTGAACTATAGAAATAAAAGCATTTTTGGAAATGTTTCTCACTGGGTGGATAGTGGAAGGTAGGTAGCCATGTATGGTGTCATGATTATAGATGTCACAACACCAGTTATTTCAAATCTGCCTAATTGTGTGGTACCCCAGACGTTTGTATAACCTGTTAAGATGCAGGTATTTTTGAGTGTGCTATGAGAAAGGGCATTTATAAAATTAGAGACGGGATGGGAAAGGAGCACCAGAAGGATAACCAGACACATCAACTTTAGGACTGTATTGATCTAGAAGCAGATCCCCTTATGAAAGCTGCCCAGAGCAGTCTCTGTACTATGGAAGGAATCCTAGACCGAAGACCTTTCTGTAGCTACCTGGGTTCTTCCCAAACATCCCTTTTCCTGCTCATGAGCCAGAGTTGGTTTTGGTTTTGCCTGCAATGAAAGATCTGTCAACTAGAACAGTGTTGACTATTTTTTCTTTTCAAAATGTCTCTCTTGAGCCCAACGCCAAACGTCTTGAAAGACGTTCCTGTCCACTGTCTTCTTCCTCAGCTTCCACACATCCCCCGCCACCCAGGCCGCTGACAGAGACAATGTTTCTGGTCGCTAGATCCCTGCCTTCCACCTCTGTGTCCTCTCAGCAGCACTGGACAGTGCTGGCCTTCACTCCCACCTCCCCTTCCCAAGAGCCACACTCCCACCGTTCTCAGCTACCCCTTCTTGGTAGCCCTGCCTGCCTGCATCCTCGGCAGCCTCTTCTTCCTCTGCCCACCCTTTGAATGTGTGGGATCCTCAGGCTTCTGTCCCAGGGCCCCTTCTCATCCTTGGGGAAGGTTCTCTCTGGGGTTTACTTTTCATCTTGAATGTTCAGCTCTGAGTGAAAGAAGTACTCCTGGAAAGCTGTCACCTGAGAGGACACATGTACTTTTAACTAAGAGGCTGCTGATTATAGCAAGGACAAACCGCCTGTTTCAGTGCTATCCAGCTCCTTGCTAGTTGGCCTCCCCATGCCTCCTTAAGCACCATCTCCAGTGTTGTCATTGTTGCAGTGTCACGGTGCAGAGATTAGTAGCTGGACTCCAGAGCCAAAGAAGCAAAATCAGAGGCCGTGTTCTGCTTTAAGGCGACATCCCATTCTATAATTTCTGGTACTCAGGATCACTTCTGGTCTCAGGGAGGCAGGAAGGCTGGCTGTTACCCCAAATGTCCTATGGTCCCTTGTTGGTAAGTCTAAGCATGTGGCACAATTTGCCCTTCAATGGGTAGAAAGAGGGTGGTAGGATCAGCTATTTACTGGACAAAGTGCTATGGTGTGTGCTTGAGGCGATTTATACACTTTATTCATTCAATGAATACAAAGTGGTCATTTCTTATCTCTGTTGTATCAATGTGTAGAATCCATGAAAGCAGAGATTTTTGTTTTGTTCATTCCTGTGTTCCTAGAATCCAGAACAGTGCCTGTCACAGGGACATGCTGAAAAGATACATATTGAATAACAAGGTTTAGAGAAGTTAAGACACTTTTCCAGACTGACAGCTTTGCACACAAATCCATCTGATTCTAGAATCCATGGTCATCCATGTATAGTATAATTATCTCCAGCAACAACTCTCCCCTGAATGTACTAACTTTGCACGCTGAATTCTCTTTACAAAGAATGTTTTACCTTAACATGTCTCAAATGGGATGTCCCATCTCAACTGACGGCAACTTCCAGTTATTCTATTCAGAACCTTTAGTCATCCTTATCTTCTTTTTTCTCTCACATTCCACATTCAATTTTTTAGGAAGTCCTGTTGCCACTACTTTCAAAATATCTCCAAACTATGTCCCCTTTTCACCACCTCCACCACTGCCATGCATGCCCAAGCCACAGTCACCACCCTTGCCTGGGTTGCTGCTATAGGGTCCATCTTTCCCTGACCCCATCCACCCTCCCCTGTGGTCCAGCATATACAGTCAACTGGGTGGTCCTGCTATAGACTGAAAGTTTGTGTCTCCCCAAAATTCAATGAAGCTAGAACCCCTAGTACAATGGTATTAGGAGTTAAGGCTGGGGGGTGTAATTAGATTTGGAGGAAGTCACAAGGGTGAGGACCCCATGGTGGGATTAGTGCCCTTCTAAGAAGAGGAACAGACAACAGAGCTGGCTCTCTCTCCTCCACCATGTGGAGAAGTCAGGAAGAGGGCTCTCTCTAGGAATTGAATCAGCTAGCACCTTGATCTTGGACTTTCCAGCCTCTAGAACTCTGAGAAACAAATATTTGTTGTATGAGACTATAGAATTTTATTATGTAGGACAGTTCCAGCAGACTAAGACAGAACCTGCAAAATCATAAGGTAAATCATGCCATTCCTCTGCTCACAATTTTCCTGGCACCCTATTTCCTTCAGGGTTAAGGATAAATCCTTGGCAATAGCCTAGTAGAGTCTGTGTAACTGTCTCTTGTTACCTACTGGCCTTTCTGGCCACGCTATGCCCTCAGTCACTGATTGAGCCCTACAGGATTCTTCACTGGCCCTCCCATTTTTCAGAAGGCTCTGACCTCAGATCTTTGCTGGAAGGCAGCCTGGCCTGACTCCATCATCTGAAACCACCCTCCCTCAGCCTCCTCAGGCCATGCTGTCTTTTCCATAATCCATTGATTATCACTTTCTAACAGACTATAGAATTTATTTTTTTATGTGTATTCTTATTATCTGTCTTTCTTCCTACAGCATAAGATCCAGAAACACACAGGTTTGCTCTTCAATGACCCTGAATGCTCTGTGCCTGGCACATGGTATTTGTTGAATGAATGGCCTTCCTAGAATAACAAGCCCTTGGCTCTTAAATGCTAAAGTCGGAGAGGCTCTATTTAACCCTCTGGTTTTGTAGGTGAGAAGACAGAGACCCAGAGGGGCGACAGGAGCAGCTGAGGTAATACAGGGCCGGGACTAGTGGCAGGATGAATAAGTAAGTAGCTTCCCTCTGCCCACCAGAGGCCTCCCCAGAGCACGTGAGCATCTGAGGCTTATAGAGAAATCAGAGCAAAGCGGAAACACTCGGAGCTGGTTTCGGCCAAGAAATTCTTGCAGCGGGAGCAGCTATTGCAGCGTGCGACCACCGGAGGGCACTGCTCGGCCGGACTGGAGAGTGAAGCTGCCCAGAGGAGGCGGAGGGCGGAGGTAGCGGGAGGAGGAACTTCCCCCCGGGAGGACAGTGCCGGCGCTGCGCAGCCCGAGCACCCTCTGGGGAAGGAGATGAGGCGGTGGGAGGGAGGGCAGGACCGTCCCGACTCGACTCTGAGTGATCAGCGAGACCTCGAGCCCCTGACACTCAAAACACCTGTTAAAACGCCCTAGACAATGATGATGGGGGACTGGCAGACATCACGACTCCTTTAATACCAGAGCTGGGTGACCCGTCTTCGTGGGCTGCGCCTGGAGGAAGTGAGTGTGCATCTCTGTGTGGCCAGGCGCCTCCTGCCTACTGTAGGGGCAAGTTGAGGAAGGCGGTGCTTAGGGGACTGTAAACCAAAATCCTAAACATCCTCTGTCAAGCAATGGGAGGGAACACCAGGACACCAGGCTCTTTCTGTTTGTTTGTTCGTTCTTTTGTTTGTTTTCCAAGACAGAATCTCACTGGGTAGAGTACAGTGGTGTCATAGCTCACAGAAACCTCAAACACTTGGGCTCGAGCAATCCTCTTGCTTCAGCCTCCTGAGTAGTTAGGACTACAGGTGTCTGCTAAAATGCTTGTGGAGTTTTTCTATTTTAGTAGAGACGGGGTCTTGCTCTTGCTTGGACGATGGTTCTCCAATTCCTGAGCTCAAGAATCCACCCACCTCCCAGAGTGCTAGGATCACAGGCATGAGCCACCACGCTCAGCTTTTTCT